GGAGGGAGCAGGTCCAAGTAAGTCTGTGAGCAGGCCCTTTAAGAGGAGCTGCCTGGGGTTTCAGCAGCCTCAGCCTCCCTTAGCCTCAGTTTCCGCTGGTTTTATAGCCAGAAGTGATGGGGATTCTTTTCCTGGCACTGGAACCCTGAGCTGGGGGCCTGGTGTGGGTCGGGGACCCCTCACTCCTCAGGGAGGACCTTCCCAGCCAAGGTGTCCTCCTGATTTTTATCCACCACATGTGGGTGTGGGACCAGCCGTCCACCTCTGCCCCTCCACCAGTCTCCATGTGACTTCTTTAATCTCGTAGTTGTAGGACTTCCATTCAGCTCGATGTTAGGTGGTTCTGAAGGATGGATGTTCTGTAGTTTGGTTGTCATTTTGATGTGGTTGTGGGAGGAGGCGATACCATGTTTACCTTCCCTCCATCCTGTACAGAAGTTCATTAAGATATTTTAATTTAATAGAGACTATCAAAGTGCTATATGACATGTTCGGAAAAGTCTGTCTTTCCTGGAGCTGGTCTTATTTCCTCAATCACTGATCCAGGAATATAGTATTACCATAGACATCCCTTTTTGGGTATATAAATGAGGCAACTGATTGATGTTTCTCTCTCTCTCTAAAAAAATCAATAAAAATGCTTAAAAAAATAAAACGTTAATTCATACGCTAAGAGAGGACATAAAATGCAATTATATAAAATGCTCAATTAAAAAATGAGGGCAGCCCTGGCTGGTTTGGCTCAGATGTTCAGCGGTTAGAGCGTCAGCCCATGGACCAGAGAGTCCTGGGTTCAGTTCCCGCTAAGGGCACGTACCTGGGTTGCAGTTTGTTCTCGACCGTGGTTGGGATCATGTGGGTGGCAGCCACTCGATGTGTCTCTCTCATGTCGATGTTTCTCTCTCTGTTCTCCCTCCCTCCCTCCCACTCTATCTTAAGATAAATGCAAACAAGAAAAAAAGTCCTCAGGTGAGGATAAAAAAAAAAAGTCAGCCCTGGCTGGGTGGCTCAGTTGGTTGGAGTGTCGTCCCATGCACCAAAATGTTTCTGTTTTGATTCCTAGTCAGGGCACATACCTACTTCGCATGTTCAATACCTGGCCAGAGGCATACAGGAGACAACCAATTGATGTTCTTCTCTTTCTCTCTTTCCCTCTCCCTTCTCTCTCTAACATCAATAAACATATCCTTGGGTGAGGATTGAAGAAAAAGAGATGGCAGACAAAGAAGGATAGATTAAACACAATGAACATAAAATCATTACAAACATGAAAGGATAAACTGTGCTAGATCAATACAATGGCACATTATTCAGCAGTAAAGAGAAATGAGTGCTCCGGCTACAAAAGACATGGCTAAATCTTAAATGAATATACTTATTGAAACAAACCGATCTGAATGCCAAATTTTGTATGATTTCAAGTATATGACATTTTGGAAAAGGCAAAAGGCATCTTGGTCCATTCTGGCTACTGTAACGAATAGCAGAATCTAGGTGGCTTCTAAACAAGATACATTTATTTGTCACAATTCTGGAGGCTGGAAAGTCTATGATGAAGGCTCTGATAGAGCTGGTGTCTGCTAAGGGCTCACCTCCTGTTTCATAGTCGGCTGGCTATCTCCTCCCTGTGTCCTCACATGGTAGAACTGCCAGAGAACTCTGGAGTTTTAAAAATAAGGACACTAATCTCATTCACAAGGGCTCTACCCTCATGGCCTATGTTTTCTCCCAAAGACCCCACCTCCAAATATCATTATATTGGGGATTAGGTTTCAACATAGGAATTTGAGGGAAGAACACAAACATTCAGTCTATAGCAGATGGTGATGAGGTCAGTGGTTGCCAGGGATTTGGGGGAGAGGTGAACTGGTGAAGCATATGAATTTTTTTAGAGGGGTAAAACTATTCTGTGATGGTGGATGCGTGTTTTCATGCATTTGTGAAAACCCATAAAACTTTGTAATGCTAAGAGTGAACCTTGATGTCAATGATGAAGTTTAGTTAATAACAACAACATTATTTCTACAATATTACGTTTTGAGTGTCCTTTATATATTTGAAATATAAGTCCTTTGTCTTATATGATTTGAAAATTATTCCACTTGAGAATTATTTCAAATATTCTGCTGTATGGATATAACCCTAATGTGCCACAATGATGCAAGCTGTCAATATCAGAAACAGTGTTTTGGGTGTTGGGGTGGGATGGGCATATGGAACCATATGAATTATCTGTTCAATTCTGTAAAATTAAAACTGTACTAAAAATAGTGTATATTAATTATTTTTAAAATCTGAGTCTCCTTTGTTGTTATTTTACAATGAGCATAGAGGGCTAGGCTATCTTTTTATTTTATTTTTTATCCTCATCCGAGGACATTTTTGCATTCATCTTCAGATAGAGCAGGAGGGAGAGAGGGAGGAAGAGAGAGAGAGAAACATTAATGTGAGAGAGACACATCGACTGGCTGCCACCCACATGACCCCTACGGGGGCTGGGGACAAACTGCAACTGAGGTATGTGCCCCTAGTGGGAACTGAACCTGGGTCTCTGTGGTCTGCGGGCCGACGCTTTAACTGCTGAGCCAAACTGGCCAGGGCTTTTAAAAAAAAATCCTCACCCAAGTATATTTTTTCATTGATTTTTGGGAGGGAGGGAGGGAGAGAGAGAGAGAAACATTGATGAGAGATGCATCAATCAGTTGCCTCCTGCACAACCCCAACAGAGGCCAGGGATTGACCCTGCAACTGAGGTATGTGCCCTTGACTGGGAATTGAACCCTTGACTGTTCGATTTGCAGGTCAATGCACTAACCTCTGAGCCAAACTGGCCAGGGCGAGGTTATCTTTTTATATATTTTCCATGTTTAACATTTATGACTTCCCAATTTTCAATGTATTTTAGTGCTCACATTTATACTAAAAATTGGAATAATGCAGAGATCAGTTTTTCCTCTGAGTAAGAATGACATACAGATTCATGAAGTATTCCATCTAAAATATATATCTGTACTTTGTTTTTCAGAGCAGTTCTAGATTCACAGTAAAATGAGCAAAAGTACAGAGTTCTTCTACATCATGCCATGCATAGCTATCAACATCCTCCATCAGAATGGTGTATTTGTTACAACTGATGAACCTACATTGACACATTATCATTCAAAGTCCATAGTTTACATAAGATTTTACTCCTGGTGTTGTACATTCTATAGGTTTGACAAATGTATAATGTATCCACCACTAGTATATCATATAGAATAATTTCACTGCCCTAGAAATTCTCTGTTCTCCACTTGTCCCCTCTTCTCCCTAACCCAACAGAGATCTTTGTGGTGCTAGAATAGTTCTGTATCTTGATTTTGGTGGTAGTTACACAAATCTACACATGTGATAAAATGACAGAACTGTACACACACATTGTACTAATTTCAATGTTCAGATTTTGATGTACTACAAGTGAGATATAATCCTTAGGAGAAATCCCTGAAGGGTACATGGGAATTCTCTGTACCATGTATCTTCTTGTGATTCTATAATTATTTCAAACTAAAAAGTTAAAATAAAATTAAAGGTCTTCATTCAAAGAAAACAGCACTGACTTTTCCGAGAAAAGTTTAGAAAAAAAGAAACCCAACTTCCTTGGGAGCTCTGCACTTAGTGGTATGTAATAACTAAGCAAACATTGGTGATGTCAACTAAAGGTCTCTGCCACTTATACATGCTATCAGGAGTTCCTATCCTGGGGTTTAGTGAAGGCTGAGACTTTATTCTCCTGAAGCAGTTCCAATGCTGCAGCTAGTGTTGTGGCTCTGGTGTTCCCTCTGAAGCTGGGGCAACTGAGAACAGGCGCTCCACTGAGACAAAGGGGAGGCGGGCTTACATGGAGAGAAGGTCCTGCCTTCAGTCAATGATTGGTCAATTTCTATGCAAAGGAGGACTCTAAAGCCACTGATGGATACAAATAGCATCGTCCTGATTGGCTGGCTCCACTGTTCTGATTGGTTATTGTGGAGCTGCTCTGATTGGTCAGTAAAGGTGCAAATGAGGATACAGCTCCATAGCTTCTATTGAATGAGGATGATCTCAGTCCCATTGGTCAAAATAGGATTCTAGGATCTCCTTTATAGGTTGTGCAGAGGGCAGGAACACAGTGTAGGAGGCTTGGCAGCCCAGTCTGTGGGTTTTTCCTGAAATGCAGCCTTTATGAGAGGCCCTTGGCAAACAATGGCTGCTGAACATGATTTTGGGTCCAGTCAATTACAAGGAGTTGTTTTAGCAGGTAAATTCTTTCTCTGGGTCAACAGTGTTGTTCATGTGTCATAGAGCAGAAGACCAAGTTAAAGCAAAAAAAATAGTAATTCTTTTTTTATTTGTTAAAAAAATTTTTTTTTCTTTAATTATTTTTGGAGAGAAAGGAGAGGGATAGATAGAAACATTGATGAGATAGAACATTGATTGGCTGCCTCCTGCATGCTCCCCACTGGGGACTAGGCTCACATCCTGGGCATGTGCCCTGACCAGGAATAGAACCAGTGACCTCTTAGTGCATGGGTCAACACTCAACCACACTGGCTGGGCAACAATTCTCTTTTTAATTGGAAGCATTACCTTACCTAATGTAAAGAGCAGTAGAAAACACTCCATGGAAGCTACGAACACAAAAATTCACCCAGGAAATGAATTTTAAAGTGCTATTTTCTTTTTTTTATCCTCACCTGAGGACATTTTTGCATTTATCTTCAGATAAAGTGGGAGGGAGAGAAGGAGGAAGAGAGAGAGAAACATCGATGTAAGAGAGACACATCAAGCGGCTGCCACCCACACAACTCCAACCAGGGAGGGGAGGTATATGCAACTGCAACTGAGGTATGTGCCCCTAGCGGGAACCGAACCTGATTCTCTCTGGTCTGTGGGCCAACGCTCTAACCGCTGAGCCAAACTGGCCAGGGCTAAAACGCTATTTTCATTCTTTAATATTATTTTTTACTCCTTTTGTTCTAGCAAGGAATAGAAAACCCAATAGTCAGCTCTGAAGTTCTTTTTTTAGGTTGTTGATGATGTATTGATATTATACAGCACAGCAGAAGGATTCAAACGGCTCCACGTGGTGTTTGGAAATTCATCCCAACTGTAGGCTGAGTGACCTGCAGGTTGGACAGGCTGCCAAAGTCCAAGAGCTTCAGCATTTCCTTTGTGTCAGGATCAACTTCAATGATCTCCTGATCCAGGGCTGAGACCTCAGGGACATAATTATCTCTCCTCTCTCTCTCTTCTTCCTGCAGTTTGATGGAGATGCCTCTCACAGGTCCTCTCTGAATCCGCTTCATCAGATGTGTGACACACCCCGCTATCTTGTTCCAGAGCTTCTTACTGGGGATAATGGCGATCTCCTCGCACATGAGCTTGTTGGTGTGGAAGTTGTTGCCCAGGCGCGTGTAGCACTTCTCGATGATGACCTGGGCCGCCTTCTTCACGGTCTTGGTGCGAACGCGCCCCATCTTGGCGGGTCCCTGGTGAAAGAGGACAGCTCTGAAGTTCTTAAGCACAGACATACCAGTGGCAGGTTAAGGAACGGTGTTTTCAGTGCTTGCTCTGGCATCCTCAGGGGGAAGGGTTGTTTGCGTCGTATAAAATAAGTCAGTCAAAATTTTACACTTTTATGTGCTTTTCAGTTCACTTTGACTTAATAGTTAAAAATATACCCTCTGACGACTAACTTGTTTTTGGGTAGGTAAAATGATCTGCCCAGTGTCCCCTATTTTAAAACAATTTTACAAAGTGATTTATATTTTCAAGCAAACAGATAATTCAAAGGACAAATTAATCCCTGCACATTAAGTTGCTAGCAGTACCAAATTAAATTTTATAAAAATTTTCATAAAATTAATAAAGTATTATGTTCCTAGAAACTATGAACATTTATCATTTCAAATAATGTCAAAGATGTTCTGAAACACTGCCATTTTTTCTTTATTGTGCTTTTTATTATTTTATAAAAATCTTCACCAGAGCCCAGCTGGTGTAGCTCTGTGGTTGAGCATCAACCCCTGCACCAAGGTCCATTGGATTCCCAGTCAGGGCACATGCCCAGGCTGTGGGCCAGATCCCCAGTAGGGGGCAGGCAGGAGGCGGCCAATCCGTGTTCTCTCTCATCTATGTTTCTCTCTCTCTAAAGTCAATAAAGACAAAAAATAAAATTAAAAAACACCTCAGCGGAGGATGTGTTTTCTTAGAGAAACATTGGTTGGTTCCCCTCCGTTAGGACAGGGGATGAAACCGGAAACGCAGGACTGGAACCGAACGGAAACCCTTTTGGTGTATGGGCGGGGCTTCAACCAATGGAGCCCCTCCCCCCCGCCAGGGCCGGCACCGGTGCTTTTGTTTATGTATTTATTTTTGGTTAATCCTCACCCAGGATATGTTTTCCCACTGATTCTTAGAGAGAGAGGACGGAGAGGACAGGAGAGAGATGGATGTCTCACACTGATTGGCGGGACAAAGACCGGGGAATCGAACCCTCAAACCCTCAGTCGCTGTGTCGGAAGCTCTAACCAACTTCCACGTATCCTCACCGTCTGGTATACCCGTGGGGTCTCAGCGGCCTGTCCATCATCCTCCGCAGACGCGGAACACGCCTGCGTCACCACGATGAACTGGCTGAACTGGCTGAACTGGCGCCAGCCTGGCGAGGCGGGGCCTCCTCGGGGACAAGATGGCGGCTGCGCGACACTCTGGGTTTACCCTGCCGCGCCTCGGTAGCCGGATGTCCTCCGGGTCTCGCCCATGGGAAGCGGAAGTAAACGGCTGCTGGATCAGCGCTCAGCGAGGCCGGCTTGCGAGCTGAACCGCGGGAAGGCGCGTGTCGGCCGCTCACTGGCGCTGTCGCCGTCCCCGCCCCCGGCCCGCCCCGCCCTGGCGTTGGCATTGTCGCCAGTGCCGCCGCGGACAGAGCGCGCCTCCTGCCAGGGCAGGAAGGGTACGTGAGTAGTGTGTGTGTCGTGGCTGCGCGGCAGGTGACAGGTACCCCGGGGTGGCGTGGGGAGGTCTCGCGGACGGGCAGAGGGATGGGGCGGAGGTGACCCTGTGCCCCTGTCACCTGAGCTTCCGCTTCTTCCTTGGCTGGGCTTCCCCTGTGTCCCAGCGCCCCAACACGGCTTTAGACCAGGTAGGGCCTTCAGTGGGCTGAGAACCGGCAGTTTGCACGACCTCCCCCTTAATCTTTTCGTAGATGTTTATTTTTCCTAAAATGAGTTTGAGGGATGCATATGGGTTGCCTGGGGCATGCCGGCTGAAAATGGGGCGATCCGGTTTCAGTTCTAGTGTGCGACCTGCCGGAAGGAGGTGTGTGGGTCCCGCCTGTAGGTGATGTGTGTGAGCGGTCGGCTCCTCGGCCACGGTCTCCAGGTTGTGCTACAGATGTTGCCAGGTCTGAGCACTCGCGTCCTGTGTTCATCTGCGGTTCTAGGGTCTCGCGCCTCACTGTGCTGCACTGTTTTTTGAAACGTTTATCATGCATATCACAAAGTGCGGGGTGATTATAGCCTTTCTGTTCGGCTTGCGTTTGACAAACTTAGCCGAAACTCATTTTTTGGGACAGTGTTAATACTTTTTATTAAAAAGTCACTGCAAGCTTTGGCTAGGAAGGCAACTTGAAGAAATGATGTCAACTGAAAGAACATTTCCACGTTATCTGTTATCTTTGTTTTTCCAGTGTAGGCATAATCAAGGAATGCTTTTACTGCTTTGGAGGACAAATTAGTAATGGTGACACTTCCACCATCTTTCTTTCATGTTTATTTCAAACATAGCCCGGAAAAAGTCACTGCATGCAGCTAACACACAATGATGACATGGGATTATTTCATCTTTCCTGATTATTTTGAATTCATGAAAGACATTTTGTTTTCTAAAATTCTGTAGTAACAGTTAAGATTTTCTGTCCATGATCTTCTGACAGGAGGAAGATGTTTATCTTCTCAATGGAATTCCATTACCTGAGCTTCGTTGATTGAAATCATACGAATAATCCATAGCCAATTTCTATCTGTTCTTGGAACTAGGTGGCAGGTTCAATCACAGTAACAGTCAGGGCATGTATGGGAGGAGCCAGTCAATGTTTCTCTCTCACACTGATGTTTCTCTCTTTCCACAACTGCAGTATCTGAAGTCTCCACCCCAGTGAAATTCATTTTTTTATTAAAGGAAATGAACACTGCTTTGTGACTTTACATTGCATGCTGCCTTTACAACACACATTTAACCGGAAGGGAATACATTGAACTGGAGAAAATTCTGTTAGATTACTTTTCTGCAGTTACCTGTGATCATTTTCATACCAGATGAATAGTAACTGCTTGTATCAGAAATTAGGTTTGTATGGTTCACTACGAATGGTTTTGTAATAGGTATAAGTGTATATTACATTTAATTATTTGAGAAGAAAATGTATTTTTAGAGAAGGGTACTTTCTAATGTTTTTCTTCACTGTTATATGTTGACATTCAGATGGTCATCTATAAACTTGCAGGGTATGGGTTGTTTTTTAAGTGTTTGTTAGCTATCATCTTCAGTTTAAAAATGGAAGAAGAAAAAGTTGGCGATGACTTAAAGTCTTATGCCTTTTTTGTTTTCCAAAAAGTGGAAAGCATTTTCTGTATTGTAATCTTTAATATTTCCAATATCTTACTGTATGTTAATGAGCTAGAGAGAGTGTCTTTAAACTGACGATACAGGCCACAGATTCAATTTTACAGATGATACATTTGGGCCTAGACCTTTTTATTTATTTATTTTAAATCCTCACCTGAGGATATTTTTCCATTTATCTTCAGATTGAGTGGGAGTGAGAGAGGGAGGGAGGGAGGGAGAGAGAGACAGAGAGAGAGAAACATCAGTGTGAGAGGAAGACATTAATTGGTTGCCTCCCACATGATCCTGAGCAGGACCTGGACTGTACTGCAACCAAGGTCCGTGCCCTTGACCAGAACTGAACCCTCAACTCTTTGGTCCAAGGGCTGACGCTCCAACTGCTGAGCCACACTGGCCAGGCAGAACTTTTTTTTTTACAAAAAGCCTCACCCAGGGATATGTTTCCATTGGTGAGAGAGAGAGAGAGAGAATCAGTTAATTCCTCACTTCCCACTCCCTTCCCAGGTGCCCCAAGTGGGGATTGAACCCGAAACCTGAGCCACCCAGCTAGGGTTGGGCCTAGAACTTTTTAAACTTTTTTATTTCTCCATCATGTCACAAGTGTTATGCCTATGATCACACAATGTCACGTTGCAGATTCTAACAGCTATTATTTCTCAGATTATTCATCTTTTTTTTTTTATCCTCACCCGAGGACATTTTTCCATTTTTGTTCAGATAGAGTGGGAGGGAGGGAGAGGAAGAGAGAGAGAGAGAGAGAGAAAGAGAGAAACAGAGAGAGAGAGAGAGAGAGAGAGAGACATCGACGTGAAAGGGACACATCGAGTGGCCGCCACCCACACGACCAACCAGGGCCGGGGACAAACTGCAACCAAGGTACGTGCCCCTAGTGGGAACCGAACCCGGGTCTCTCTGGACCGCAGGCCGACGCTCCAACCGCTGAGCCAAACGGGCCAGGGCTCAGACTATTCATCTTTATAAACAACATTTAAAGACCACTAGGGTCAGAGTAATAAGGGATTTTGTAAAATGAAGGCACCCTGAAATAAAAGTTTACTTCAGTGAGGTTCTTGCCTTTGCTTCTCTGGACAGCCATTTCCTCGGTATTACCTGTGGAATGAAGGAAGTGGAGTCAAGGTTGGAAGGCTTTTCTTTAATGTGTTGCTTTCCTCCCTGTCTCATCTTTTTTTTTTATCCTCACCCGAGGACATTTTTCCATTTTTTGTTTAGATAGAGTGGGAGGGAGAGAGAGGAGAGAGATAGAGAGAGAGAAAGAGAAACATGGACGTGAAAGGGACACATCGAGTGGTTGCCACCCGCATGACCCAACCAGGGCCGGAGACAAACTGCAACCAAGGTACGTGCCCTTAGTGGGAATCGAACCCGGGTCTCTCTGGACCTCAGGCTGATGCTCTAACCGCTGAGCCAAACTGGCCAGGGCCTCCCTGTCTCATCTTTAATGGCTGGGCTTGCCCAAGAACTCTTTCTGTTGCTCTTTTATTTATTTTTTATCCTCACCTGAGGATATATTTTTCCATTTATCTTCAGATAGAGCATGTGTGTGTGTGTGGGGGGGGGGGTAGAGGGAGAGAGGGAAAAGGAGAGAGGAAGAGAGAGATTTGAGAGAGACACAGCAATTGGTTGCCTCTCGCATGACCCTGACCACGGCCAGTGACTCAACCGAGATACATGCCCTTGACCAGAATTGAACCTATGACTCCTTGGTCCATGGGCTGACGCTCTAAGCACTGAGCCAAACTGGCCAGGGCAATTTAAAAATTTTTAAAAATATTTTTGTCTTTGTTCTTGGTACTACACTTCTTTCTAGTTTCTTTCATTGATCCCTTAATGAATGAAGCCTGTATTTGTTTATTTTATTTTGAGAATTCCCTGTGTTCCATGCAGAAAGCTAGGTATGTCACAATGATAGACAAAACTTCCTACTCTTGAGGAGCTCAGCCTGTGTATGGATCTTTCTGTCTAGTTGAATGATTTGCTTTGGTTCCAACTTCAGACCTACATCTTTGGTTTCAGGTTGAAACCAGTCCTCTCTCAGTCCCTTGGGGCCGAAGGGCTCTGCCCCTAGAAAACTCTTGTGGTTGCCTTGGTTCTCAAAAGAAAGATTTTGCTTAGTCTGTCTTTGCACAGTTTGAATTGTTACCCCTTGTAAGACCAGAGATCCAGGGGAGATAGCATGGTGTTATAGAACTTACCAGGCAGATGTGGGTTCAAAGCATTGCTATAGATGAGTTGGGCAAGTTACTCAGCCTCTCTTAGCTTTCCTTTTTTTTATTTTTAAGCGGGCATGACAGTATTACATCCATTATGCAGCATATTTATGGCTTGTCTACTGTTTGCTGTGGTGAACAGAGGAGCCGTATCTGCTGCCTATCCTCCAGGAACTGCAGTTTCCTGTGTGGAAAGCTGGGTAAGGGCTGTGCAAAGCACCTGACAGCGTGCTCCGCCCAGAGTGATTGTTCATTCAGTGCTAATGTGTCCTCAGGGGCCTGTTTTCACTTTCAGTTCCCTGTAACTCCACTGTGCGGTGGTATTCCATTTCTCATGGAATCATCTACTTTTAGGGGATTACACATTTAGGCCCCTTCGGGAAAGGTTATAAACATGGCCACTGCATAATATTGTTTCACTGTAGTTCATATACTCGCCATTTTAGAAACTTAGTGACTTTGGGGAAGGTTTGTTTATTTCTTTTTAATCCTCACCTGATGATGTTTTTCTGTTTATCATCAGATAGAGTGGGAGGGAGGGAGAGGGAGAGAGGAGAGAGAGAGAAACATCCACTGGTTGCCTCCCGTGTGACCCTACCGGGACCTAACCGTAACCAAGGTACATGTCCTTGACCAGAATTGAACTGGAGACGCATGGGTCCTTGGGCCGATGCTCTGCCGCTGAGCCAAACTGGCCAGGGCTTATTTTTATTTTTATTTTTTCCCTAGCCACAGAGTTTAGGTTTTTTTTTTTTTTTTTCTGAAATGATCTGAGCACTGTGAGGCTCTCTGCTTGAGGAGCTGCTGCTGAGAGTTCAGGAGCCTGCATTTCATGGCCATGCCAGTTTACCAGTGCCTCCAGCTTCTTTGTTTTTACCCTACCATGTATGTGCTTTTTATTTTTATTTTTAAAAATTTTTTATTAATTTATTTTTGTTATAGATGTTTCTCCTTTTTTTTCCCTGTTGACCCCCTCCTCCCCTTTGCCCCCACCCCGTACCCGGCTTTGTTGTCCATGTCCATCGGTTATGCATACATGCATATAAGTTCTATGGTTTATCTCTTCCCTCCTCCCACCACCCCCTCTTCGGAGGGTTGTCATTCTGTACCCTACTTCTACGTCTCTGGGTCTACCCTATTCCTCAGACTGTTATGTTTATTATATTCCACAAATAAGTGAGATCATGTGATATTTGTCTTTCTCTGCTTGCCTTGTTTCGCTTAGGATAATACTTTCCGGGCAGAGTTTAGGTTTTTAAGGCATATTTTTGAGGCCATGTGATAATGGTGATATGTTATTCTGTAATATAGAAGATAGTTTTTAGTGTTTTCCCCTGATGATATCTTTTACTAGAATAATTCTTGTATAGTACCTGGCACTTTATGAAGTGATTTTCATATTGCCTTTTCATTTTCACAGTGATCTGGTGTGGCAGATACTGTTACTCCTATTAAAATCTGGGAGACTATGGGCCAGTGAAGTTATTAGGTAACATGCTTATGGTTAAACTGCTAGTAAGTAGCAAACTCAGGAATTGATAGCAGTTTCTTGACTCAAATGTTTCTCTTGTCCGTAACCATGTTTGTTCTAGCATGCAGGCATATTTGTTTCTGAGGCTGCAGTCCATGGACCTGTAGGGGAGGGTATCTATTAATGTCCCACGAGAGGTCTTGGGTGGTCTGATATTGGATGTAAAAGTTTGGGTCCTTCTTTGCCCCTCTGCTGGAAATGTTAGTAACTTTTGCTAGATTCAGAAAGGGCCCTACATCATCCATTCTGAACCCCCCCACCCCTCAACTGCTAGTAGGTTTCATTGTCAAAAGTCTAATTTGGTTAGCCCTAGTCTTTGAAAATATTGATTGCTTTAAAGTACTTATTTATAAATGGGATATTCATATTTTCTGTTTCCAAAGAAGCTGACAGAGCCTGAACATAAAACTCATGTAAAAGCAACTCTTCTGTTTGGTAGATTTTGCTTTTGACCATTGCTCTTTAGAGATATTGTGTGTTATATTATTGGAGAATTGCATGGGTGGGATTTCCTCAATGCTAGTGAGAGTGGGGTTCGTGGGGCCCCTCTGGAATAAGCATTTCTGGAGGCCCCTATAGGAGGATGAGATGTGGTAAAAGGCATTATTTTCGTGGAGTTACATCTCTTGGTTTGCAGAGCCCCATTTCCCTTTGTCCAGTCCTGGAAGAGGTAGCAGGGAATTCAGCAGAGCTAAAAGCAAAGCCAGTGTCCAGAGTTTCCTTTCCATGGTGGAGTTGAGTTTGACATCAGGCTGATCACAGTCTGTTAGTCCATTGTCTGTGGGGTCCACATGGCCATGAGCCATGTGGGCCACTGCAGGGCAGAGAGGCCTGTAAGCCGGGAGTCAGGCAGGAGCAGCAAGGGAGCAGGAAGGGCCAAGAGGCAAGAGAGGGAGTTTAAGGATCTCAGATTTCACGCCCTTGCAGTGGCCACACCTATCCTGGCCAATTACTCCTTCCCATGTGTGACTTACAGGTAAGCACCTTCCCACATCACCCAGATCTTACTGGGCATGCGTCTTTTGTCCAGTCCCTTCCCCCGGTGATCTTCGGGTAACAGACCTGGAGAGTGTTAAATCGCAGCTTCCTGGCAAAGCTGTACACATGGAATCCTGTATTATTTAGCCTTCCCTGCTCCTTTTCTGTTAACTAATAACCAGATTATAACAACAGTATCAGTATGAATAGAATGTTGATATAAATGATGATACTTTTTCTAAAATGAAGATACTGACTAGTTCCCTGCAATATGGACTGTCTTCCCCAACAATAGATTTTATAGCCAGTGTTGAACTGGGGCGAGCCTTTCCAGATGTTAAGGTTCAGAAGACAAGTTTGTTGTAGTGTTTCCCACATGCACATTCCCTTGGTGTTCCCATTCACATGGGGAGAACTTGGATGTTGGCTCTTATATAGTGTTCTGTCAGGCTGACTTTTGGGATGAAAGATCAGATCAAAGACGTCTGCAGCTGGAGACCTTTTTCTGAAATGATCTGAGCACTGTGAGGCTCTCTGCTTGAGGAGCTGCTGCTGAGAGTTCAGGAGCCTGCATTTCATGGCCAGAAGGCTAGAAGTTCTAATTGTGACGAAAAGGGGCCACATACTAAACCTGATAAGCCCAGGGGAGGCCTGTGTGGTGGCCTTACAAACTCAGAGACCCAAAGTAACCACAAAGGATGGTCTGAAATGAAAACTTTTTAACTAAAAGCTGTTTATGGCAGGCAGTCATGTCCTAGGCTGGTACTTCCCTGAGAAAGGTCAGTCTTTACCTCAACTGAGACTGTCTGTTGTCTTTTTGCATCTACGATAACATGTCTTTGGAACGTCACCGTAATTCCCCTTTTTCCGGACCCCTAAAGCACGGGCACCGTTCTGCAGACACCATGAATCCCTTGTTGTTGTTGAGTTAGTTGTTGGCTGTTAACTCTCCTGTACCCATCTGTGTAAAAGAAGTGTCTATCATTTTATTTTATATCCAATCCCAAAAGTTTCCCTGCTTTGCTTTTTCCCTGCCCAGCTAATCTATCACCAATGGATTTCATGTAACGCAGTTACATCTTCTCTTTTTATTGTAATGTATAAAATAAGGTGCAAAGCTGCCATTCACTTGAGCATTATCTCAGTCGTTGAGATTTTGCTTACTGGCAGTTGCCAACAGTTTGGCTCAAATAAACTCACAGAAGTTCTTCACAGGTGTGAATATTTCTTTTGGTGACATAGTCAAGGTGTCATAGGACCGTGTTCACACTGAGGGCTGTAGGATCTTTCCTTGCCTCTTCCAGCTTCTGACAGCCCCAGCTTGCAGTGTATTCCTTGGCTCACAGTATGATCCCAGTCTGCCTCCTCTTTTTTTTTTTTTATCCTCATCCTAGGACATTTATGCATTTATCTTCAGATAGAGCGGGAGGGAGAAAGGGAGGAAGAGCGAGAAACGTCTATGTGAGAGACACGCATCAACTGGTTGCCACCCACACGACCCTAATTGGGGTTGGGGACAAACTGCAACCGAGGTATGTGCCCTTAGCGGGAACTGAACCCGGGACTCTCTGGTCCGTGGGCTGACCCTCTAACCGCTGAGCCAGACCAGCCAGAGCCTGCCTGCTCTTTACCTGGCATTCTCCCCGTGTCTTCATACAGTCTCCCTCTGTGTGCCTGTCTCAGTGCCCACATCTCTCTCTCTTTTTTTAAAAATCTTCACCCAAGGATATTTTTCCATTGATTTTTCAGATAGAGTGGGAGCGAAGGAGGAAGAGAGAGAGAAACATTGATGTGGGAGAGACACATTGATTGGTTGCCTCCCGCATGACCCCAACCAGGACCTGGGATAGAACTGCAACCGAGGTACGTGCCCTTGACCGGAATTGAACCCGAGACTCTTTGCAAAGTCTGTGGGCCGATGCTCTAACCGCTGAGCCAAATCGGCCAGGGCAAATATCTCTTATTTTATAATACCAGTCATATTAAGTTAGGACCTACACGAATGACCTCATTTTAAGTTGATTGCTTCTGTAAAGACCCTGTTTCCAAATAAGTTCACATTCTGAGCTACTGAGGGCTAGGACTTCAACCTGTGATTTTGGGGGACCCTATATAACCTGTAACACCCATCAGTTATGTGTTCATCTGTCTCAGCTTTATTTACTCTTCTGCTTAATGAAGTCTTGTGTGCGACCTGTTTTGCCGCAGCTGACTCTCATAGGGATGACCTGGAGCTTCTGTGGGACGGGTCCACAGTGACTCTCATAGGGATGACCTGGAGCTTCTGTGGGACGGGTCCACAGTGACTCTCATAGGGATGACCTGGAGCTTCTGTGGGACGGGTCCACAGTGACTCTCATAGGGATGACCTGGAGCTTCTGTGGGACGGGTCCACAGTGACTTTCATAGGGATGACCTGGAGCCTCTGTAGGACGGTCCATAGTGAGTGCACACTCTCCGTACGTGTCCAACACGCAGCAGGTGTCTGTTGAACTCTCTATGCAGTAGGGCTGTTATATTTTGGAATCATTTCTATTTCTGTAATATTCATGTTATTTTGTGTCTCTAAATATTAAGATTCAGGTTTAAATATTTCCTTGTAGCAAAACTTTTTTTTTTTCTTTTTAGGGATTTGCTGTAAAATGGGACTCCTGACTGTATTCACTGGACTGTGGCTGTTTTCTTTAGTAAAGGCAGATTCAAAAGCCATTACAACCTCTCTTACAACAAAATGGTTTTCCACTCCATTGTTGTTAGAAACCAGGTAAGAAGACATTTTTTTCTTTCACATGTTTGAGCAAAATATAGACTCCACTAGTGAATATCCAGGAGCTTTTTTAGAGGTGTGATGATGATCATCAGATGCATTTAGTAAGACCCTCTCAGAATGCACTGTGCTGTTAGAACACAGAACTTGTAGCAGACAGGACTGGATTGACTCATAGTGATCCTTAGAGACTTCTTTAGACAAATATATTGAATTGGTTCAATATATGTGGTGATAAGGGGGGGAGAGAGTGGTACTTAAAGGAAATATTCTATTTATTTATTTAAAAGGAAGAGAAGAGCCTTGGCCAGTTAGCTTAATGGTTAGAGCGTCAGCTCACGAACCAGAGTCTCGGGTTCGATTTTGGTCAAGAGCAGGTACGTTGGTTGCGGTTTAGTCCCCAGCCCTGGTCAGGGTTGTGAGAGGCAGTCAGTCGATGTGTGTCTCTCACATTGATATCTCTCTCTCTCTCTCCCTGCCTCTCTCCCTCCCACTCTATCTGAAGATAAATGGAAAAATGTCCTTGGGTGAGGATTTAAAAAAATAAATAAATGAAAGGAAGAGAAGAGAGCTTGGCAAGGTGGGGTAAAGAGGACATGCTCCTCCTAAGAACTTGGAAGAAGACCCTGAGATAAGAGAGTTCAGGGGGAAACCGAGGAAATGGCCAGATTTTATTTGTTCTAAGATATACTTGTTCGACGTTTGAACTTTGTGGTGTGTCTTCTAACATTTCCTCCTTAATCCCCGGAAAAATGTGAATGAGGAGTTGGGTTATGTTGATTGTATACACAAATAGTTGCATTTCTAAGGAAAAAAACCTCCTTTGGCCTTGATAAGAGGGCATGTGGGCCAGTGGGACACATAGGAGCTGGTCTTGACTCACTGAGGAGCCCCACAGACTTTCTTCAAAAGGTCACTTCTCTGTGCCTCTTTCTCATCAATAAAACGGCAGAAAACAAGAAAAATACTGCACATATTTCACAGCGATATTAATAACTAACTTGATAAGTGGGGTAAGCTCCTCCTGGGTATGTGCCCTGACTGGGAATAGAACCTGTCACCTTTTGGTGTCCTGGGTGACACTTCAACCACTGAGCCACACCGGCCATGACGAATTACCAATTTCTGATTCTGTTTCTACTATGATAGCATTTTCACAAATGGTGTTTCATTAGCCTTTTTTATATTGGGACTTCTCTATTGTTACATTTTATTATTCTAGGTCTTTTAAAGAAGTATCCATTAAACTGTTAAGTTATTGATAGCTAATTAGCTAGTAAGATTTTCTTATTATTAAAAATATATATTATGCACATTTGTGTAATACATATTATAAATTGAAAGACAAACTATGGACATTTGGAGACGTAGAAACTTAATTTACTTTCTTTAGTAATAGAGCTTATATTAGAAGATTTTCATTTTAAGTTGGTTTATGTCTGATATTTCTTCCTTTCTCCCAGTGAGTTTTTAGCAGAAGACAGTCAAGAGAAGTTTTGGAATTTTGTAGAAGCCAGTCAAAATATTGGATCATCAGATCATCATGGTAAATTGAAGCCAATGCTCTTTTGACTTTGGTGTCTGGGAAAATACTGGAAAAATGTTCTCTCTTGGAGCATGTGTGGTGGGCCAGCTAATGGGATAACTTTGAACTTAATGACTGGAGTTATGATGGCAGCCAGCAGAGCCAGCCCAGACACAATTATTTTTGAAGCGGTTTATAACTTTGGCTATAAGCACTATCCTTGACTTTTACCCCCCTTGTGCTTTTGAGACGTTTTATTAAAAAATGTGTGACTATTTTGTGAAAGTCAAATTCATTTAAAAATCATCTAGTATTAATTTAATAACCATCACATTTGATTCACTATTTTTTGTTACAAATCAATTACATAACTGATGTATTATCTGTTGTTTTGTTATTATTGAGTTAGTGCCCCCTAAACTATTTTCTGCTCTGCCTGCCAGCCAGCCACAGCTTGAGTGTCAATGCATCAAATTAATTACAGGGTAAACTCTCTTATTTGTTTATGGATTATGATGTGCTTTCATGAACATCTTCTAACTCAATATAACCTATATAGAATATAAACATGAAGTCAAAGATACATGAGCAGCTAAAACTTTGATATTATATTGACAGGCATAAGTCTTTATTGAAAGAGGAAAAGTGTGAAAATTTTGTGACTGCCGTTAATAGTGAAGTAAATTGATTGTAACTTTTATTTTTTATTTTTATTTTTTTTATCCTCACCCGAGGACATTTTTCGATATTTTGTTCAGATAGAGTGGGAGGGAGAGAGAGAGAGAGAAACATCGACGTGAAAGGGACACATCGAGTGGTTGCCACCTGCACTACCCATCCAGGGCTGGGGACAAACTGCAATGGAGATACGTACCCTTAGCGGGAACCGAACCCGGGTCTCTCCGGACCGCAGGCCAACGCTCTAACCGCTGAGCCAAACCGGCCAGGGCTAACTTTTATTTTTATTTAAGTGATATGTGTTGAAAAAGTCATGTCTGAATTTTTGTGTGATATAAATATAGAATGATTTTGAACAAGCAAGCACCTATAAGTTTTAGTTAATGTAAGTTAGAGTCATTTAGAATTGTTTGAGTTATCAGAAAGATCATTTTAGTTTTTTTTTTTAATCCTTACCCGAGGACATTTTTCCATTTTTTGTTCAGGTAGAGTGGGGAGGGAGAGAGAGGGAGAGAAACATTGACATGAAAGGGACACATCGAGTGGTTGCCACCCGCATGACCCAACCAGGGCCGTGGACAAACTGCAACCGAGGTTCATGCCCTTAGTGGGAACCGAACCTGGGTCTCTCTGGACCGCAGGCCGACGTTCTAACGCTGAGCCAAACCAGCCAGAGCAAGATCATTTTAGTTTTTTTTTTTTTTAAATCTTTATTGTTGAATGTAGAATGTATTACAGATGTTCCAAATTTTTCCCCCATTGACCCCCTCCTCTCCACTCCCGCCTTTTCCCACACTATTGTCTGTGTCCATTGGTTATGCATATAAGTTCTTTGGTTTATTTCTTCCCACCCCCCCAACCCCTTTCCCTAGGTTTGTCAGTCTAGCAATGAATTTGCACTTCTTAATCCCTTCACCTTTTTCACCCACTCTCCCAACCTCCTCCCATCTGGCAACCAACAAAATGTTCTCTGTATCTATGAGAATGTTTCTGATGTACCTGTTCATTTTGTTTGTAGATTCCATTGTTGATAGATATGTATTCATTGCCATTCTGTTTGTTCATATATTTTATTTTTTTCTTCAAAAAGACCCTTCATCATTTCATATAATAACGGTTTGGTGGTGATGAACTCCTTTAACTTTTTCTTGTCTGGGAAAGTCTTTATATGGCCATCGATTCTAAATGACAGCTTTGCAGGATAGAATAATCTTGGTTGTAGATTCTTGCTTTTCATCACTCTGAATATTTCTTGCTACTCCCTTCTGGCCTGCAAAGTTCCTTTTGAGAAATCTGCTGACAGCCTTTTGGGAACTCCCTTGTAGGTAACTAGCTGCCTTTCTCTTGCTGCTTTTAAGATTCTTTGTCTTGAACCTTTTGCATTTTGATGATGATGTGTCTTGGTGTGGGCCTCTTGGGGTTCATCTTGTTTGGGACTCTCTGTGCTTCCTGGACTTGTATGTCTGTTTCCTTCACCAAGTTAGGAAAGTTTTCTGCCATAATTGTTTCAAACAGGTTTTCGATTTCTTGTTCTCGCTCTTCTCCTTCTGACAGCCCCAAGATGCGAATGTTGGCACGCTTGAAGTTGTCCCAGAGGCTCCTTACACTATCCTCATTTTTTTGGATTCTTTTTCTTTTTGCTGTTCTGATTGGGTGTTTTTTGCTTCCTTATATTCCAAATCGATGGTTTGCTTCTTGGATTTACGTACTCTAGTATTGAATCTGTGTAAATTATTCTTTATTTCAGTTAATGCCTCCTTCAATTCTGACTGGTCCTTTTTTATGCTCTTGAGGCCCTCACTACGTTCACTGAGGTTCTCACTGAGTTCATGGAGTATCCTTATAAGCAGTATTTTGAACTCAGCATCTGTTAGGTTTTTTATCTCCATTTTGCTTAGTTCTTTTCTTGGGGTTTTGTTCTGTTCTCTCATTTGGGACCTGTTTCTTTGTCTCCTCATTTTGGCTGCCTCCCTGTGTTTGTTTCTGTGTATTACTTAATGAGAGGTATGGGGCTCACTGAGACCAGATGCTGCTTGTTTAAAAGAGTTTAGGAAAAACCTGAAGCAGGATCCAAGACAGGCCAATGCTATGGTTAAGCAACTGGCAACAGCTTGCGTGGGCCTGAAAGTTGGGTGGGACGGGGCGGGGCCTCAGGGAGTCACCAGAGCGGGGCTACCAGTGTGAGCCAGGTTGCTGGAGTCCCAGATATGGCGGCTGTCTGCCGCCCCAGGGAAGAGCTCACCAAAGGAACAAGGGCCTCTGACAGTACGTTTGTCCCGGAGAAAGCCCCCTCTCCAGCCCTCGCTCCAGTGCCAAACAGCTCAGTTCTTCCCTGTATGTCTCTAGCGCCCCTGGAGCTGCCTCCCCTCCAAGCTTAGAGGGAGAGAGTCCGATAAGTCTGTGCGCGGGCCCTTTAAAAAGCTGCCTGGGGCTCCAGCCGCTTCAGCCTCCCTGAGCCTCAGTTCCCGTTGGTTTTTCCAGCCAGAAGTTATGGGGATTCTCTTCCTGGTACTGGAACCCTGTGCAGGGCATGTGGTGTGGGACGGGGACCCCTCAGTCCTCAGGAAGGACCTTCCCAGCCCAAGTATCCTCCTGATTTTTATCCGCCAGACGTGGGTGTGGGACCAGCCCGTCTTGCCACCGCCCCTCGCGCCTCCGCCCCTCCTACCAGTCTGGAGGTGGCTGCTGCTTTAATTCCGTAGTTGTAGGACTTCCATTCAGGATGATTTCAGGCGGTTTTGAATGATGGTTGTTCTGTAGTTTAGTTGTAACTTTGATGTGGTTGTGGGAGGACGTGAGACCGCATTTACCTACCCGCCATCTTGACCGGAAGTCAAGATCATTTTAGTTTTAATTTACAGTTTTATGAAACAAATTTATTGAAGTGGGCTTTATAATGAATTTGAGTTCTGACATATGAATGAGATTTCTTCAGTACAAATGGTAGTGTGTTCTTGGTTAGAATTATGTGAGTATGAATTTTTGGAAGTGATCATAAAAGTATGTTAAACATTTTGTTTGAAGCATTATCTGTAGTCCCATCACCCAAATATTCACCGTTAACATTCTGGCAAAACTTTAAGGTATTTCTTTCTGATCTCTTTTTCTACTTAGATACTTAGATGCTAATACAGTACAAGTACAGACCTTTTTTTTTTTTTATCTTACCCGAGGACATTTTTGTTGTTGTTGTTCAGATAGAGTGGGAGGGAGAGAGAAGAAGAGAGAGAGAGAGAGAGAGAGAGAGAGAGAGAGAGAGAGAGAAAGAGAAACAGAAACATCTACATGAAAGGGATACAGACAGTGGTTGCCATCCACACGACCCAACCAGGGACGGGGACAAACTGCAACCGAGGTACATGCCCTTAGCGGGGGAACTGAACCTGGGTCTCTCTGGACCACAGGCGGATGCTCTAACCGCTGAGCCAAACCGGCCAGGGCCAGACCTTTTATATTCTGCTTTTTAAGATGTGAATATTTTCTTTAAAGAAGCCATATGAAAGTTTATACTTGCACAGAGAAATCTTGTAGCCTCCTTTGTTTCTCCCCATTTTTTTTTTTTTTTGAATTCTCACCTGAGGATAGTTTTCTGTTTGTCTTCAGATAGCGTGGGAGGGAGGGAGAGAAAGGACGAGAGCTAGAGAAACATCGTAGTGAGAGAGACACATCGACTGGTTGCCTCCTGCAGGATCTTGACCAGGGCTGGGGTCGAACCACAACCAAGGTAAATGCCCCTGTGCCCTTGACCAGAATCGAACTGTGACTCATTGGTCTTCGCGCTGACGCTCTAACTGCTGAGCTAAATTGGCCAGGGATATTTCTCCCTGTTGTTAGAACCATTTAATTTAATTTGTTTAACCTTCAATGTTTTTTTTATGAGAAATACATACATATGTAGTCTTATTTCTCATCCTTTCTTACAGTAAAAAATGAGCGGTTATATATACATTGTTTGTACGTTGTGCCTTTCATTTAGCAGTCTGTCCTCGGAATTTTTTTTTTATACTGGTATGTGTGTTTTTTCCCTCCTAGATAATTTATTCCAATTGTTTGTTTAAATGCTTTACCAGTGGTTCTCAACCTTCCTGATCCTGAGACCCTTTAATCCCGTTCCTCATGTTGTGGTGACTCCCAACCATAAAATTATTTTCATTGCTACTTCATAACTGTAATTTTCCTACTGTTATGTCTTAGGTGACCCCTGTAAAAGGGTCATTCGACCCCCAAAAGGGGTTGTGATCCATAGGTTGAGAATCACTGCTTTACCCTAAACACAGTTTTATCACTATCCTTTAATACGTTGTGTTTCCTGATCACCTCGCTCAGCTGTGCTAGACTGATGACATGTGGTGGTAGGCACTGGGGATACTAAGGCAAATAAGTCATAGTTCCTGCCTGTGGGTGCTCAAGGACCATTTTGGGTGGGGCAGATAGTGAATACTTTAGTGAATAATGTAATGAGTGAAAGAGGTAAGCAAAGGAATATTATGAGAGCAAAGAAGAGATGTACTGGGTCCATTGACGCATGGCGTGGGGATTGGGCTTCCTCCCTGAAGTAGGTGACTGGCAGTCCATGGGAGGGAGGAGTGGACAAAGGGAAGAAGGGAGGAGACGTCCAGTCTCTTTGTTCACTCCAGGGATTCTGAGCATTTTACGGCAGTTCAAGGCAGTATAGTACAAAACTTTCCTTTCATATGGTTTTGTAACACATATCTTGATACTTATAAATGTTTTATTTGGATACCTCTAATTATATATGATCATTTTGGTTAATATTCTTCCTCGACAGGTACTGATTACTCCTATTATCATGCAGTATTGGAAGCTGCATTTCAGTTTCTGTCACCTCTGCAGCAGAATTTGTTGAAATTTTCTCTGTCTCTCCATTCCTACTCGGCTACAATTCAAGCCTTCCAGCAGGTGAGTTCAGTGCTTACACAGTATTTTTAGAGTTGTACAACATGATTGGATATATTATAGTTGACCTGGTATTTTATTACAGAGCTGTAACTTTTCTGCCTGACATTTTCTAGGATTTATGATTTGTTTGTAAATAACAAGCAAAGTCGATGTGAAATCTTCAAACCATATATTATAAAAAATTTAACTTTCAACTTATTTTTATTTAAGAAATAAAGAATACGCACACAAAAATAGAGACTATCGGACTTCATCTGTACCACACGGCCTAGGAGGTGTAGTCTTGCCCAACTGATCGACCTGGGCATAGCCTGCAGCTCCCATAGCAGTTCAGGAATATGGAACATGTGAGGCAGTGTCACAGGGCAGTCAGCAAAGGTCAGCCTGTGGGTGATGTTAGGGTAAATGACTGGATCTCTTTAACAAGTAAGTTAAAAGATGAAGGAAAGAGGGAAGGAGGAGCTTTAAGAGAGACTTTAAAAATGTTAACTTAATGTAGTTTATAGTTCTTATTGGATTTTGCATTGAACAGACTTCTATTGTGAAAAAAAAAAGCGAGAGAATCAAAGGTATCGATCCCAGTTGTGTGTGTGTGTATAAAAATATACTTTTTTTTTTTATCCTCACCTGAGGACATTCTTCCATTTTTTGTTCAGATAGAGTGGGAGGGAGAGAGAAGAAGAGAGAGAGAGAGAAAGAGAGAGAAACATTGACCTGAAAGGGGCACATTGAATGGTTGCCACCCACATGACCCAACCAGGGCCGGGGACAAACCGCAACCGAGGCACGTGCCCCTAGTGGGAACCGAACCCGGGTCTCTCTCGACCGCAGGCCGATGCTCCAACTGCTGAGCCAAACCCGCCAGGGCTCCAGTTGTATATTTGATGTAAAAGAAATGTGAATTTTAAAACAATTTTTCACTATAAAGTAATACAGGTATAGCAAAGCACTCACAATAAAGATATAGTATAATAAATAATGATAAGTGAACATCCTGTAATTCTCACCCAGGTCAAGAGCTGGAACTTGTCTTTGGTTAGAAGTTTTTTTTAAAAAGTCTTGTGTCTTAAATGGCAGATAGCGGCTGACGAACCTCCACCAGAGGGATGTAATTCATTTTTTTCAGTTCATGGAAGGAAGACCTGTGATTTTGATACCCTTGAGACTCTTCTGTTAACAGCATCTGAAAGGTAGGTTGTGTGTATCTCTCTATAAATGTCATGCATTGTGCTTTCTTTAATATCAAGACCACTTTTGATTTTTAAATGAGTTTTGTGGTCTGTAGGGACAGTGGTCTAGAGCATGGATTCTGGAACCAGACTGACCAGATTTGAATTCCAGCTCTGTTGCTTAAAATGTCATGAACTTGGCAGATTACTTAACCTTTCTTTCCTCATCTCATTTTAAAATGGAGATACTAAGAGTACCTAATATTGCTGTCAGTATTTAGTAATGACTGTATCTGAGAAATTACATAGACTCTGTCGTCAGCTTAGTAAAGCATACTCTGTGTTAAAGCTAGTGCCTGAAGTAATTATATTAATGATAATGATCTCTCAGGATATTCTTGGTTTCAGACAAAGTAAGCTATTTAAAGGATAATTGCAAGCTTAATTTGAATATTAAATTGGTAATTAATGGTCTAGCTTTTGCGTAAAGGTTGATTTCCTCTGGGCTAATATAATAGTACCTCTTGCTGTCTGTCTAGGGCAGTATGCTTTATAACCTCTCCACTGACCTTATAAATAAGATAGCAGTGATCTTTCTCTGTGGTGTTGCTCTGCTGTATCTGAAGTGCTAAGGGTGTTTTCAGTGAGGGTCGTTCTTCTTTAGTGAGATTATCTGCCCAGCACTTGTCCTCTGCCCAGCAAATGACATGAGTGCTTCTTACTCAGGGTGACACCAGTGTGCATTCTAGCCCTGTCAGGGTTGAAGTGGTTGTGTGCTAAAGTGGTGCTCCTTTGGTGAAAACAAAATTGATCTGTTTTTGTTTAATATGTTGTAATAAAATGCAGACTTTGTAAACAAAACAGTGATAGTGTATCCTCTTCTGAGAGGAGGTAACTGTTTTTAATGGTTCGGCTTGTATCCTTTTAGACTTTTTTGTGTGGGTATACATTGCTTTTACTAGAGTAACTTTTCTTTAACACATGTAGGTGTACCTCATTGGGAGAGATTGGTAGGTCCTAAAGTCTATGCATTTATGTCCATTAATATCTTTTTCTTTTGTCTTTAATCCTCACCTGAGGATATTTTTCCATTTATCTTCAGATAGAATGGGAGGGAGGGAGAGAGAGAGAAATATCAATTCGAGAGAGACACATCGACTGATTGCCTCCTGCACAATCCAACCATGGCCGGGGACCAAACTGCAACCAAGGAACATGCCTTGACCGGAATTGAATCTGCAGCTCTTTGGTCCTCGGGCTGACGCTTTAACTGCTGAGCCAAATTGGACAGGGTGTTTTATTTAGTCTATTAGTATCTTGATGTTATTCTTAGAGAAGTGTTTTTGGAGGTTAAGTTTTAAAATTTATGAGGAACATATAAATGTTAAATCTATTGCTAGGAAGATCATAGTGGTAAAGCTGATAGAGGAGGGAGTTGCTCTGATTTGCAAGATATATGCTTAAGTAGTCCTCTGCTTCTTTGCATTATGTATTCTTATGTTTTCAGGTAAAAGGGTAATTATATTCTGTTTTTAGTAGGATAATTTGTTAAAGTTTTTTTTTTTTATCCTCACCTGAGGACATTTTTTTGTTTTTTTTTGTTCAGATAGAGTGGGAGGGAGAGAGAGGAAGAGAGAGAAAGAGAAACATCGATGTGAAAGGGACACGTCGAGTGGTTGCCACCTGCACGACCCAACCAGGGCCAGGGACAAACTGCAACCGAGGTACATGCCCTTAGCGGGAATCGAACCCAGGTCTCTCTGGACCACAGGCCGATGCTCTAACCACTGAGCAAAAACAACCACGGCAAAAGTTTTAGTACTATGAGATCTGGCTTTCCCTCTTCTCTAGGAATCGGTAACAATTATTAAAGTCTGCATTTTATAGCTAGTATTTAGGTAATATACTTTTATTATTATGTTTAATGATGAACAAATAAGATTTATACCTGATAGCACTCTTACTGAAAACTATTTAAGATTTTGATACTTTTATATTAAGATGATCATAATCTTTACTTACATTATCATTGCTGCAGCTACAGTTTGTTTAAAAACTTTTTTAAGTTTATAATTTTAAACTTTTGCTATTTGTTTTTAGACCCAAACCCTTGTTGTTCAAAGGTGATCACAGATACCCCTCCTCCAGTCCTGAGAGTCCAGTGGTGATTTTCTACTCTGAGATCGGCTGTGAGGCATTTTACAATTTCCACCACCAGCTTGTGTCACAAAGCAGTGCAGGCAAAATCAATTACATATTCAGACATTATGTATCTGTGAGTATTGACTTACTTTATATATTGATTTGCCCAGCATGACCTTACCACATAAGCTATAAATTTCCCCTTTTATAAAATTATTAGAACTACTTTTTTTTTTTTTTATCCTCACCCGAGGACATTTTTGCATTTATCTTCAGATAAAGTGGGAGGGAGAGAGGGGGGAAGAGAGAGAGAGAAACATGGATGTGAGAGAGACACATTGACTGGCTGCCACCCACACGACCCCAGCTGGAGTCGGAGACAAAGTGCAACCAAAGTACGTGCCCCTAGCAAAAACCGAACCTGGGACTCTCTGGTCCGTGGGCCGACGCTCTAACTGCTGAACCATACTGGCCAGGTTACTTTTTTGAGAATTTAAGTACTTTCATCAAATGTTATTTGCACAATGGAGGTACTTTGCTTGCCTTTCTGAAGAAATATAAAACAATTATGCTTAACTACAGCTTCATAAAGTTTATATTCTATTTTCAAATGAACCATGTAAATTATATTTAATATGGTCCAGATTTAATATGGTTACATACTATGAAACAGATTCTTTTTTAATCCTCACCCAAGGCTATTTTTTCAGATAGAGTGGAAAGGAGGGAGGAGAGGAGAGGAGAGAGAGAGAGAGAGAGAGAGAGGGAGGAAGGGAGAGAAAGGGAGAGAAAGAGAGAGAGAAGAGGAACATCGATGTGAGAGACTCACATCTATTGGTTGCCTCCCACATGACCCTGACCAGGCTGAGGATCGAACCTGCAACCCAGGTACGCACCCTTGACTGGGAATTGGTTTGCAGGTCGATGCTCTAACTGCTGAGCCAAACAGGCTGGAGCAGGAACGGATTCTTAAAAAAAACAAAAACATTTTGTTTGATTTTAAGAATCAAAATATTGATTTTAGACAGGAAGGGAGAGGGAGAGAGAGATAGAAACATCGATAGGAGAAAACATCGATTGGCCGCCTCCTGCACATCCCCCACTGGGGATCAGGCCCACAACCTGGGCTTGTGCCCTGACTGGGAATCGAACTAGCGACTTCTTGGTGCATGGATAAACTCTCAACCACTGAGCCACACCAGCCAGGCAGGAACTTATTCTTTAATTCAGTTCTTTTCCAAATTTTTTTTTTGTTTGAAATATTTTCATAAGATGGAAAAGGAAGGATTTCTGAAGAGGTAAAATCAGGCAGAATCGATTGAAAATGAAGGTTTTGGAACTTTGTATAACATTTAGCATTTGAATTATTTATATGTAAAGATTATTAGCCCTAAAGTTTCTGTATCCTACTCAGCTGGTGTGGCTCATTGGATTGAATATCATCCCATACACTGAGAGGTTGCTGGTTTGATTCCTGGTCTGGGCACATGCCCAGGTTGCAGGCTTGAATTCCAGTATAGGGTGTGCAGGAGGCAGCCAGTCAATGTTTCTCTCTCATTGATGTTTCTATCTCTCTCCCCCTCTCCCTTCCTCTCTCCGTCTAAAAAATATAATAGAAATATATTATAAAAAAAAAGTTTTTGTATCCTAATAAGCTAGATAAATATTGGATGCTAAGTCCATGCAAGTACTAAAATAAAAATTTTGAATGAAAATTTGTTTGAACAGAAACAGATTTATTAGTATCTAATTTTTGACAACTGCTCTCCATCCCTCTGCCTCAGGGCTCTATTGCTGGTATTAAAGATTGGAATGTCTAAAGGGCCCTGGGTGGTGTGGCTCAGTTGATAGAGCATCAGCTTGCATACTGAATGGTCACTGGTTCAATACCTGGTTAAGGGCATGTACCTGGGTTACAGGTTCGATTAGCAGCCCCTGTTGGGGTACCTGCAAGAGGCAACCAATGTGTGTCTCTCACATCGATGTTTTTCTATCTCCCTCCTCCCTTGAGTGAGGATTAGCAAACAAACAAACACATAAATAAATACGTAACATTTCTAAAGGGCCATGCTCATTCAGGTTGTGGTGGTAAGCCCGTGATACTTGGTCAGCCCAAACCCTGTCTGAAGATGTTTAAATTCAATACAAAATGTAAACATGCACACATTGACACACATGGCAGAGCTCTTCTGGGTTCCAGCCTTGCTGCTCTTCAGTCCTGCTGTGCAGGCTCTGAAACTTTCTCTTTCTCCCTCTCTTCACGTGGTTTGGTTCCCTTTGCCTTTCTCTGGTGTTGCTTCTACCTTGGAATCCCCCTTCTCACACATGTGGTAGGATACAAGATCTAAAGGCAGCTGGGATTTCCATGGAGGTTTTAAGTGTGTTTGAGTGGATAATCCTAAGTGTTGGCCGCGGTATTAACACAGTCACATTCTGCACTTTGTGACATGTAAGAGCTTGGAGGTGATGGTGGGATGCTTGCTCTGCTTGCAGAATCCCAGAAAGGAGCCTGTGTATCTCTCTGGCTATGGCGTGGAACTGGCCATCAAGAGCACCGAGTACAAGGCCAAGGACGATACTCAGGTGAAAGGTGAATTTGTAAATCAGACCAATGTGTTTTCTCTTTTTACAATGTGAGTTAAAGGGGAACTTTTCTCCTTAATAATAAAGAATAGATTTAAGAATATGATGAGCCTGTGTTTGAATCCTTGTTCTGTTACATCCGAGTTGGGTGACATTAAGCAAATTCTCTGTGTCCTAATTTTTTCCTGTGTAAAGTATAGATAATGACATATGCTTCTTAAACTGTTTCTGAGGAGAAAATAAGATGTATATGCAAGAAAATAGCACGGTTTTTTTGCACAAAAAATGTTCAGTGAGTAGTAGCTATTGTTACTGACAATATATAGTTCACAAATAGCCATTAATTTGAGGCCCATGTGAAATCTTAAACTATCCTATAATTAACAAATGATTTAATGGTTTTTATTATTTTCTGCACTTGGAACAGTTTACTATGGATACTTTTTGTCATACTCTAGGGTTTTGAATTTATTATTTCAACCACACATTTTATGTACGGTCTTTTTAATTTCTTTTGAGCTCATTTTAAAGTTAAAAAGGATTGGCTTGGTACATAGAGATAGCCTAGTAACTCATCAACAATTCTATTTAGGTGCCTGGTTGCATATTCTTTAGAATTTTTATATTGAAAAATTAATTATCATTTCAAAGGTATTAATTTGGAAAATTTTAGCATGTAATTTTCCGAAGTTTAAGGGAAACAATATATTCTTATTTTATCCAGGAATGTAGGGTATATTAAAGTGCATCAGTTTTCTCGTTACCATTGCAAAATTAGGTATTCAGCATTTTATTTATTTATTTGTTTGTTTATTTATTTATCTAGTTTTACTTTTATTAGCATTTATTTTATGTTGAATTTATTCCCGGGCCATATGTTTTTGTTTCTCCAGTTTCTTCCGGGCTGTCTTTTTCTTCTGTGCAGCCTCCCCTCTGGTTTAGGAGCAGTCTGCTCTTTCTCTGTCGGGTCCTCTCCCTGTGGCAGGGAGAGCTCATGTCTGGGCTGATCCTCCCATGAGCTCTGTATGTTCTGTGCCGCATCCCGGGAGCTTTGTTCACCTGGATGTGCTCAGTGACCAGAGAACCTACATCTAAACCCTGAGGTTCACCATTGCTCTCTGCATTTTTAACCATGTGCAGCAAAAACTCAGCACTTTTTGGGCCTCCTACCCCGTGTCCGACCCCACTGTTTTGCCTGGGCACACCTGCCAACACCATTGTAATGACAGAATGGCACACATTGCTTCTGTAAAGTGACATCCTTCAGATGCTCGGTGGCTTTTTGAGTATGCATGCACTTGATGGCCTGGGCAGTTCCACGAGTGTTCGTACAGCGAACCTCTTGATTTGCATGATTATGTGTGCGTTTCTGGGTCAAGTGAATATCGAACCATTTTAAGAGGTCACTCTGGCTGCTTTCAGGAAGAGCTAGATATTCAGCATTTTAAATGGTATCATAATATCAAGTGTTTCTAATTTTTTTTTTTTAACATCACTCAGACTTATGAGGTTAATAGTGTTTTTATTTCTAATCTGAATGATTAGACATGTATTTGCTGTGCTTTTATAGGAACTGAAGTAAACACCACAGTGATTGGTGAAAATGATCCTATTGATGAAGTTCAGGGATTTTTCTTTGGAAGATTAAGGTATGTGTATGGTTTTGGGGAATGATCTTACTCTGTTTAAACCTCCAGGTTTCGTCGCACTAGGAACGTCATCTCTCTTACTACATCTGAATTACAGATCTCCCGATAGCATTTTACACATGTCACCTGATACGAAGAGATGGCCCATTAATTATAGGACAGTACATGATCTCCAGTTGTTCTGGGCACATAGCTTTCAGTGATACTGTGGCTGTCTCCTTATGGCTCACTTTGAGTTCCTTTTCTGGGCCTTGCAGTTGATGGCACAAAATTACATGCCATTTTTTGATTCACATAAAAGGAGAAATATAACTGTTTCAGTCAATATTTTCCCAAGAAATTCAAATGTATTTTCAGTTAGAGAGGTCATAGCTATTTACTCATGCTAAACAGAGTCTAAAAAATGCAAAGCAGGTGTAGTAGATGAGGAGTAGATTTTATACATGTTCAGTTAAAATACATTACATTAGTGTTTGCTCTGTATGAAAGAGGATAGAAAATGGATTTGCTTTGAAGAAAAATTCATAGCCATTTTATCTAAGTATCATAGGCTTTTTTTTTTTTTTTTTTTTTTATCCTCACCCGAGGACATTTTTCCATTTTTTGTTCAGGTAGAGTGGGGGGGGGGGGGAGAGGAACAGAGAAAAGAGAGAAACATCGATGTGAAAGGGACACATCGAGTGGCTGCCACCCGCACAACCGACCAGGGCCGGGGACAAACTGCAACCGAGGTACGCGCCCTTAGCGGGAACCGAACCCGGGTCTCTCAGGACCACAGGCCAACGCTCTAACCGCTGAGCCAAACCGGCCAGGGCTATCATAGGCTTTTATAGCTGAAAAGTCTTCTTAACTCCTCTCTCAAATGTTGCGGTTATTTCTGACATGATGTGATAATTGTTCAGAGCCCTGGATTCTGCTTTATCTAAAAATCTTAGTTAGAGCTTCTACAGTGTGCTTTGTGTTTTTTTTTTAAGTTTATTTTCAGTTTTCATTATTTTTAATCTTTATTGTTGAAAGTATTACAGATGTCCCCCTTTTGTTTTTGTTTATTTTTAAAGGAAGACACCATAGGGGAATAATATGTGCAGGCTCATTTTCTAGTACTCGTTTAACTGTTGGCTGCATGAAATGCCTTAGCCAGACTAATAGTTTAGCAGAAATGACTTAGTTCATGTTAAATTACTATGGACATGTTATGTTCATCTTATGCATATACATATTCTTTGTGTTCAGTATCAGTTCTGGCCTCAGTGTGCAGTCAGGTTCCATTTTTTATTGGCCCAGGTTTCCAGAATTCCTTTAACTATTCATGTGTTTTATGTTTGCTTTTTTAGACAGCGTTATGATTTCATGTATTTACAACATAATGGAGTATGTTGAATATTGAAGACATTTTTTTTTCTTTTTGGACATTCAGAATAGTTATTTAGCTATCTAAAGTAACTGGAACATTTTTTGATATTTTTATCATGAAGAAGAGTTTGTAGTGTGATTGGAAGTAGATTCTTTGGAAGGTGAAGGATCTGAGTAAACATTTAACTTGCTGCATGTTGTATTTAAGAAATTTTGATGCTCTACATCTGAAAATGGTGTGGAATGGTATTGAATGTAAACTGTGGTTGAAAAAAAAATTTAAAAAAGAGAAAATTTGAGATTTTAGCATTTAAAAGAACAGAATGGCCCAGCCATTCCATGGTTGAACATCGACCCTGCAGCAAGAGGTTGCTGGTTCGATTCCTGGTCAGGGCACATGCCCAGGTTGTGGGCCCATTTCCCAGTTGGGGCATGTAGGAGGCGGCCAGTCGATGTTCTCTCCCATAGATGTTTCCATCTCTCTCTCCCTCTCCATTCCTCTCTCTCTAAAAATCAATAAAGAAAAAAAAAAAAGAACAGAATGACTCTTTCAGCCATTTGTCTAAATGATATATTTCTGTTTCTGATATCTTCTGTTATACTAGCTTCAAATAGAATGTACTATATTTCAAGATAAAACTAAACAAAACCCAGTAATCTTGGTTAGCTTGAATTGTATTCATGTAACCAGAGGATTTATGAGCATGTTGTAGACAGAAATTCATTTGGGGACTGGTAACAATATAGATTGAATTTTATTTCGAGGAATTATAAAGATTCAGAAAAGTATGGAAAATAATATAACACACCCATGTACTATACTTACCACCGAGAATTGATTGTTGCTCTCATACTTGCTTTTCTGTACCAAAGAACTGTTAAGTTTCCCCCCAAATATATGTGTGGTTTTACTTAAAAGAAGAAAGAAACAAGGTGAATGAGACACGACAGGTAGAGTTGAGGTTCCCTTTGTCCCTCCTCCCAGTTCCACTCATCTCCCTCCCTGCAACCTCAGCAATCTGTAGTGAGTCATGATTTCGTCTGTAAATCTTAGGGTTTTAAATTAACATACTTTTCTATATCACCTTAACTTTTTGATTTTAATTTAATTTAATTTTAAAAAATTGTTTTTTATTTTTCTGTATTGATTTTAGAGAGAGAAGAAGGGAGAGAGAGAGTGAGAGAGATAGAAACATCGATGAGAGAGAGAACATCAATTGGCCGCCTCCTGCGTGCCTCCCCCCCCTGGATCAGGCCCACAACCTGGGCATGTGCCCTGACTGGGGATCAAACCAGCGACCTCTTGGTATAGGGTCGACCCTCAACCACTGAGCCACACCGGCCGGGCTATTTTTACTTTTTTAATTAAATTATTTTTGTTAGAGATGTTTCTCCTTTTCCCCACTTAGACACCCTCCTTCTGATCCCCATGCCCCCCCCCCCCCCGAATTGTTGTCTATGACCATTGGTTATGCATATATGCATATAAGTTCTTTGGTTTATCTCATTTCTCCCAACTTTTTATTTTTATTTATTTATTTATTTATTTTTATTATTATTTTTTTTATCCTCACCCGAGGATATTTTTCCATTTTTTGTACAGATAGAGTGGGAGGGAGAGAGAGGAAGGGAGAGAGAGAGAGAAACATCGACGTGAAGGGACACATCGAGTGGCTGCCACCCGCACAACCAACCAGGGCCGGGGACAAACTGCAACCGAAGTATGTGCCCTTAGCGGGAACCGAACCCGGGTCTCTCCCGACCGCAGGCCGACGCTCTAACCGCTGAGCCAAACTGGCCAAGGCTATTTTTATTTTTTTATTATCCTCACCCAAGGACATTTTTCCATTTTTTGTTCAGATAGAGTGGGAAGGAGAGAGAGGAAGAGAGAGAGCGAGAGAAACATTGACGTGAAAGGGACACATCAAGTGGCTGCCTCCCACACGACCCAACCAGGGCCGGGGACAAACTGCAGTTGAGGTACGTGCCCTTAGCGGGAACCAAACCCGGGTCTCTCTGGACTGCAGGCCGATGCTAACTGCTGATCCAAACTGTCCAGTGCTCATTCCTCCCAACTTTAAAAAAAAATTTTTCTTTCTTTATTGATTTGAGAGAGGAAGGGAGAGGGAGAGAGAGATGAAAACATCGATGAGAGAGAACATCAATTGGCTGCCTCCTGCATGCCCCCCACTGGGGATTTGGCCCACAGCCTGGGCATGCGTCCTGACTGAGAATCGAACGGGCAACCTCTTGGTGCATGGGTCAACGCTCAGCCACTGTGCCACACCAGCCGGGCCGGACCCAACTTAATTTTTTAAGAAAAATAATTATACTTTAATTTCCCCCCTATATTGTAGGAATTTTTCTAATGCTAAGAGGGGAAAAATCATGAAGGTGAAATTGGAGCCAACTTCTGAGTGTAGTTTGAGAAAGAAAAGACACATGAAAAGGACTGATTTTATGTTTCTTTCAGAGACCTGCACCCTGACCTGAAGGGACAGTTGAAGGAACTTAGAAAGCATCTTGTGGAGAGCACCAATGAAATGGCACCTTTGAAAGTTTGGCAATTACAAGGTAATAAAAATAAAAACATATGAATCACTGGCCTATTTTTTGACTATATTTTATGGTATTACGAAAAGGTAGAATTTGAATGCAATTGTATCAATTCACAGATTTTAAAGAGAGTGATTAATTGTGATTAGTTATGATTAATCAGAAAGGAACATCCTTTTTTAGATAAGTAACACTTTATAAATAGTAAATGAATATGCAAATGAGTGCCAGGTCTTTTCTTTGTGAGGGGAAATGCACAGGTTTGTAGTATAGAAGCTGTGTGTCTTGGCCTTTGTGTGCTTGCTCACATTTACTGAACAGTGCATATGTGGGGTTCCAACGTGTGGCAGTGGGAGGGCGCATGTGCGCCCTTCTGGTCCAAAACGATCCATCAAGGTTTTTCCAAGATAATTTACTAAAGTCTTTTTTAATAATTTGAGATTTGTTGTAAATTCAAAAGGGACAGGATTTGCGATGACTTTATCCTCTGCCTCATGTGTTAGTGTATGCTCTACTGTGTTATACAGGTAGATCAAGAAATTATTGTAGTAAACACCATAGAAGGTCAATAACACCTGAAATAAAACCATGAGCACACTCTGGAATGGTTGCATTCTAAGCAGTCTCAATTACCAAGAAAGTAGTGGGAAGTAAGTGTGTTTCTTTCCTATTTTTTATTGTAGTATGTTAATACACTTTATATTATATTTGACATTGTTACAGATCTAAGTTTCCAGACTGCTGCCCGAATCTTGGATGCTCCTGTTGAATTAGCTTTGGTGGTTATGAAGGATCTCAGTCAAAATTTTCCTACCAAAGCCAGGTAATATAGGGTATTAAGGCTCTGAGGCATTTGTCTCCTGAACATATATCTAATTATCTTCATGTTTATATGTAAAAATGAAGCAGTTAAAGTATATAAATACTTAGAAAATGAAAGTTCTCCTTCTATCAACACCATACTGCTAATGCTGCTCTCTTTCTGAGGTGTCAAGACTGCAGTGTGTGGTGGAGGAGACACGTCTTGGTCGTATTCTTGGCACTGCACTTCCTAGTTGTGTGAGCTCTAAATGAACACTTTCCTCAACCCTGAAAGAGCTGCTTTTCAGGGTTGGATGAGTTAACACTAAGCTGAGCAGACATAACCAGTGTAGGATTTCACATGGATGGTAGTGTTTTTTTTTCCTGAACATTTTCACATCTAATTTAATCTTGATGAAGAAAATGAGTTACAGAGTCTGACTTGTTCATAGAGACAGGGTGAGATTTTGAATGCAGCTTTTCCGGTATTGCTTCCAATTGTGTAATTGTCCCCATGTCTAATAGATGCAAGGCACAGTTGTTTTAAAAGCCAATTTTTTAGAAACTAGTGACTTAAATTAGTGTCATTCATTCTTGAGTCACTGAATGAGATTGAATTCTGATACGAGATGTTTTGTAGATAAGTTTATTTGATTAGTTTTGAAAATACTTCTTGGATAGAACTTATAAATCATATAGTATATTCTCCTTTAGTCCAGCATGTTATTGAAGATGTACATGTAGGATTCCATCTTCACCACAAGTGCTTAAATAGGATGAGCAATTTGTTGCCTTAATTTATTTAACAGTATCTTTTAGTTTGTGAGCTTTAGAGATAATATACAGGAATAGAGTCACATATAGTAACTAAGATCTTGGAAATAACAGTATCCTTTAGCCTGTGAGCTTTAGCATCATACACAGGAGTAGAATCACATATAGTAACTAAGATCTTGGAAATAACTGCCCTTGTGTTAAAATGCTGCTGTTACTGGTACTTTTCCTTGGTATTGTTTCTTACAATAATGAAAAAACAAACACATTTGAGAGGAGAAATATATTTACCAGTTGTAAAGGTTTAAGGTTTTTTTCACTAGGTTTTTGTAATTTATTTATTTATTCTTTTCGTTTTTGTTATTTTTTTTTTGGTACGTGCCCCTAGCGGGAACCGAACCCTGGACTCTGGTCTGCAGGCCGACGCTCCAACTGCTGAGCCAAATTGGCCAGGGCGGTTTTTGTAATTTATTAAGCAATTTGTTGTTTCATACTAAATTGAAGACATTTATATGAAGACAACATATTAAACCAAGCAATGATAATGTGTTTGTTTCCTTAGAGCAATAACAAAAACAGCTGTGAGTTCAGAACTTAGAACAGAAGTGGAAGAGAATCAGAAGGTAACAATAATCAATGGAAAATGGGGGCCTTTCTGTTTCATAGTGTATCTTTAGGAAATCTGAGTTAAACCAGTGACATTAGTAGTTTTAATCTCATTTGATCAAAGATGATGATATTTTAATTCCTTCCTGTAATCTTTTTTATGTTTTTAGTTTTTAATTAAAGTTGAATATGAATATAATTTAAAGCACCAAATGGTGCTACCTGTTTATTCACAAAACAAACATCCTCACTCCCTGTGTCCCTTTTACCAGAAACATCTGCTTCTGACTCTTAGTTGATTCTTTTGATACCTATCTCCAGACTTGTAACAAGCTTAAATTGGTACTTTAGTTTTGAGTTTCAGACCTTATTGATTGGCCTCCTGTTACAAGGATATCTAACTTTCTTTCACTACCCTCCTACCCCTGTCTACCACGACTCCGTATTGGTGCTTTACCTACCTCGTCACTTTCCCTGTGTTTTTGTGTCATGATTATATTCACCGCTCCTCTATGGACGGTTGTTTTTTATGTCCAGTGCACAGCAATCATCTGGGGGAATCTTCCTTTAACTTAAAGTCTTTTGTTGGACGCCCTATTCCTTGGATTTCAGGTCTCGCTTTTGGTTTATTCCCTTATTTTGGTGCAGCAAATCATTCTTCATTAAGAAAAGTTGCATGCAAGGTAAATTTCAGACTCCGAGAAATCAATTTTCCATTTCTGTTCTTTTATTGGTAGTTGGGCTGGATATAGAATTTTAGATCTGAAGTCATTTAGAAGTTTGAAGGCATTGATACTTATAATTTTGATTTCCATTGTGGCTGTTGAGAAGTCTGAAGCCTTTGTATGAAATCTGCCTTTTCTTTCTAGAATCATCTAGGATCTTTTCTTTGACCTTAGTAATCTGAAATTTCACAATGATGTGTCATTTAAAAAAGTTTCTGTACTATTAGGTGGCTGATAGGCCCTTTAAATCTAGAAAATTATTTTCTTGAGTTTGGGGAAATTTTAAAAAATTATTTATTTGCATTTCTTCCATTGGGTTTTTCTCTTCTGTCTTATGAGAACTCTATTTTATTTATTTATTATATTTTAATCCTCACCCAAGGATATTTTTCTAGTTATCCTCAGATACAGTGGGAGGGAGGAAGGGAGAGGAAGAGTGGGAAAGAGAGAGAGAGAGAGAGAGAGAGAGAGACATCGACGTGAGAGAGACATCGACGTGAGAGAGACACATCCACTGGTTGCCTCCTACATGACCCTGACCAGGGTTGGGGATGAACTGCACCCGAAGTATGTGCCCTTGGCCAGAATCGAACCCATGACTTAATTGGTCCTTGGGCTGATGCTCTAACTGCTGAGCCAAATCAGCCAAGGCTCTATTTTTAAGATTTTGCACCGCCATGATTGACTTGGCCTAATTGAAAAAAGTTTTTTTTTTTCCTATTTTCCAATCCTTTTGTTTTTTACTTTTAAACTTTCTGGGAAGGATTTTAACTCCTTGGTTTAGGTTTTTCCTGTAGTTGTCACATTTTTAATTTCCAAGGGTTATTGTTGTTCTTGGATTCTTCTTTTATGGTGTTCTCGTATCCTTCTGCGATAGCAATGGTGCACGTGTATATTTTCTTCTCTTTGCATAGTCTGTTTCCACGTAAGTATTCTTTATTTTTGTCTTGGTCTCTTGTCTTTAATGCTAGTGGCTTTCCAGGATGTCTGGTGATCTGTGGCCAGCTGCTGATATTGAAGAATGAGGCAGCCAGAAGCTGAACAGAATCCCCGAGGATGAGGCTTTTTGACTGTAGGCTATCCTCGAATGACCACTTCCCAGGGTACCCCAGGGACAGTATCTTTTGACCTTTCTCCTGGAGCTGTTTCGTCTCCAGAAAGGATCTTCTGGTCTTCTGTCTGGAGAGTGAAGTTTGGCTGCCAGGGTGGTAGAGGCCCAGTAGGGAAGAACACTAGTACCTTCCACTCAGCTCCCTGCTTTCAGTGTGGGCTCCCCACCCTCAGTGTGTTTAATTTACCACAGTTCCAGAGTCTGTTTTACTCTTTCCAGTGATGAGCCGCCAGTTTTTTGGAGTGAGGGAGTCATGATAGCACTTGCCTGCTATGTGAAATTAGGGGAGTCCAGGGCTGTTACCTTAAAAGGCTTTCTATCGGAACTGTTTTTAGCCTCATGATCACCCCTCCTATGCGTGTCCTTGGTGTTCTCGATTCATGGTGTCCTTTTGGCTCGTGCACTGGAGGTCTAGCCTTCAGCTTTCCCAGCATTCCCGGGGCACTGCTGCTCATACCTCTCCAGCTTCCAAAGTCTGTTGCTCTTTTTCTCTTCTCTTCGTCACTATGGATTTGTAACTTTAAGAGAGCCCCTTTTAAAAAAAAATGGACATTTCAGGAAAATTTCAAAAGGGATAAAAAAGTGTGTTCAATCTACTATCTGTACCCCGGATTTTCTTAATCTTTTTTTTTTCTTTTTTATCCTCACCTGAGGACATTTTTCCATTTTTTGTTCAGATAGAGGGAGAGAGAGGAAGAGAAAGAGAGAGAGAAACATCGACGTGAAAGGGACACATTGAGTGGCTGCCACCCGCACAACCCAACCAGGGCCGGGACAAACTGCAACCGAGTTACATGCCCTTAGTGGGAACCGAACCCGGGTCTCTCTGGACCGCAGGTCGACGCTCCAACCACTGAGCCAAACTGGCCAGGGCAGGATTTTCTTAATCTTTATGTATGTTAGTTACTTAAGTAGACCTGAGGAATAAGAAACCAAATATATCTTAAATATTTGCTAAATTGAAGAACCCTGACAGTTTTTATTCACTTAATTTTAAATTTCCACATAACAGTATCAAATATTGCCTTCATTTTAGTCCCCTTCCCCAGGAAGATAAAACATTAAATTGGCTATATATTGGTACATCCTGAGTTTTTCATTTTTTTGGGTAAAATATTTTATTGAAGTATAAAATACAAAATATAAAACACATATAAAAATGTGCACAAAATGTTAGTGTGATGAATTTTTGGTAAGTGAAGCCACCTGTGTTACCCACACCCAGGTCTACAGGAGACTGAGCTGTGTCTTTGTCATACTCAGAGGCGCTGTCCTCGCGGCCTGCAGTGAGTGGGCATGGAGCTTCTCTCCCGAGCTAGGAATCTAATTCTCACTGATGCAGCTCTTCGTTACCCTAATCTCACTTGCCATTTAATCCTGGCAGGGCAAGGAAGCAAAGCCATGTTTCCTCATGGTTTTGTGTTTTTCTCAGCAGTACTAGATTTTAAAGGTTATTTCTCTTAGTCCACTGACTACTGGGAAAAGGAAGGAGCTCAGCAGTTTCTGTCCTTCCTCCCCAAGCTCTGGGAGAACCAGGTAGCCATTGTCTCAGGAGCAGCAGTTGAAGGCACCCCTCTGGGGCTCAGGTCTTGGAGAGCTGGGTTGCATGGAGGTCCTGTCCTTAGCACAGCAATTCCTTGGTGTGCCTTAGTGGAAAGGTGAGGGGAGTGTGGGGTTTCGATTAGACCCCTGGACTTGACCAAGACGGCCTAGCTGTTGTTGGCGCCTGTCACTGCTTGGCTGGCATCGCAAGCAGGGAGAAGCAACAGGAGTCCTCTTTTATGAGACGTGACCCTCAGCACTTGGCTGATTTGACACCCTCGTCATAGGAAACAGTTGTTAATCGATGTTGGAAAGAGGGAGGGAGGAGGGTGTGTGCTGCGTAAACCTGCTGTTTCACCAGATTGTGTCCTAAATGACAAGGGGGAGTAGCAGACGGCCAGGGGTTTCCTATGGTACATTAGAGGGTGTCAACCTTTGTACACACAGTACAGCCAGAAACATGGACATTTCTGTTAAACATTCTCTTCCTGCTCCTTAAATACTTTTTTATATATTTCAGTATTTCAAAGGAACTTTAGGATTACAGCCTGGAGACTCAGCGCTGTTCATCAATGGACTTCACATTGACTTAGACACACAGGACATATTCAGGTATGGGTACCGTTTCCATGCTCTGAGCTTGTAACGTGTCGCTCCTGCGGTGCAGGTGGTTCCCCTGGATGGTGGTGTTGCCCAGCCTGGTGGCGGACCGGGCCTGGGGGTACACTTAGGTGGGTCTGTGTTCCGACTGGGATGGCTAGGACGATACTCTGCCATTTTTAAAATCATATGTCCATTTAAGGCCTTGGACGTTTCAAACCCAGGTGTCTTGCAAGAATGCCCTAGTAGCAGCGACAGGAGAGCCCTTTTGCTCTGGGCAGGGTGGGAAGGGCATTCAAGTGCTGCCTCTGGAGTCTCACAGGTGTTCTGTCACATAGATCTCTTTTGAATGCCCATCTTTATGTTTTGTTAAAATGTTATTTAGGACTAAATTGCTCTAAATTGTTATTATGAATTTTTAGAGGGGTTGGTGGGCATTCAGGTGGAATTCAAGTTTTATCCTTGGAATTAAAATTACCCAGTTGACACTGTGGCTTCATAGTATGTAGTGAAAACAAAAGCTACTGCTAATGCTTCAGAAGCAGCAGTTTCCCTAGTGTGATATTTTCACATTATTTTATTTATTTTTTAAAAATCCTCACCTGAGGATATTTTTCCATCGACATTTACATGGAGTACGAGAAAGGGAGGGAGAGAGAGAAAAATATCAATGTGAGAGAGACACATCAGTTGGTTGCCCCCTGACAGGGGCTGGGTATTGAACCTGCAACTGAGGTACATGTCTGTAACCAGGAATCGAACCTGGAGCAAGGGCCAATGCTCTGTTGCTGAGCCACACCAGCCAGGGCCACGTTAATTATTTGAATGGGGTTTTATGCTTACATCCTATTGTATAGAGCTGGTGAAACATTAATGAAGGAGACTTGAAAAGACTGCCCATATTTGTTTTTATTTATTTATTTTTTGTTACTGATTTTAGAGAGAGAGGAAATGAGAGGGAGAGAGCCATACAAACACTGATGAGGGAGAACATCAACTGGCTGCCTCCTGCACGCCCCTCACTGGGGGTTGGGCCCACAACCCGGGCATGTGCCCTGACTGGGAGTCGAACCGGTGACTTCTGGGTGCATGGGTTGACACTCAACTGCTGAGTCACACCAGCCGGGCTGTTTTTATTTTTTATTAAATAAAATATATATATCTTTAATTTTTCAGAGTATTACAACCTTCTAATTGTAAACAGTTTTAAATAATACAGAGTGTCAAGGAACTAGACAGGAAAGTCCTTATCTTGTCATCTTAGTTCTTTCTTCTCCTCCAGGAAACCTTGGTTGGGTATGACTTCCTCTAGACCTTTTCTGTGGTCGTAGGTGCGTGTGCTTGTGCACATCGGTACTGGTGTTGACACACATGTTAAACATACATAATCTAGTATTTCTGTTTCTGGCCTTTTTTCATAAACTCTTTGTTTTGAGATGATTGTAGATCAGGTGCAATTGTAAGAAGTAACAGAGATTATGGCAGTGTTGTTAGAAATGTGCATTGTCAAACCCAGATTTAGGGGTATTTCACCCCGAAATGGTATGTTTATAATACAGGTGATTTCTGTACACAGTATACACTGTGTATATGTTGATAAGTAGAAATAAACATGAACCAAGAAGTAAATCCTACCTACCTTCTTCTGCATACTTTGATAAGAGGAAGCAAAGGGACGATCACCCTTGTTTTGACTTGTCAACTAGTAGGGAATTGAGTTTGAACTGACACATTTTTTTTTCATGGCAAGGAATTTTAAAAAAGATTTTTTCCTATATACTTATGTTTTTTAGTCTGTTTGATGTATTGAGGAATGAAGCACGGGTCATGGAAGGTCTGCATAGACTGGGAATAGAAGGTGCTTCTCTGCACAATGTTTTGAAACTGAACATCCAGCCCTCTGAGGCCGACTATGCTGTTGACATCCGGAGTCCTGCTATTTCGGTAGGTGTTCTGTTAGTGTGTCCAGGGAGCATCTGGCCAGGTATTTGTTACTGTTTTTCACTTGTCTTTTGTGAGAGGTAAGTTATTCCTGCCAGGTCTTTTATTGGCATCAAACAAAGATTTGCCCCAACTGCTTATATGGGACTGTGTGCTCCCAGAAGTTGAGTTTTATATGGTGAAGACAGCGACTTTTCCACTTTGTTGTTAATCCTCACCTGAGGATATTTTCCCTTTGATTTTTAGATAGAATGGAAGGGCAGGAGGGAGAGAGAGAAAGAAACATTTATGGGAGAGAGACACATTGATTGGTTGCCTCCCACATGACCCTGACCAGGGCCAGGAATTGCACTTGCAGCTCAGGTATGTGCCCTTGACTGGGAATTGAACCTGCCAACCTCTGGTCCACAGGCTGGCACTCTAACCTCCAAGCCAGACCTGCCAGGGTGGCTTTTCCACATTTGTGTCTCCCTGTGATTCAGCAGGGCATGTCTTGAGAAAGAGTGTTTAGCTTGTATTTACCCAAATGCATATTTGATATTTTATGTGTGAAGGATTATTGTAGGTTAATATCTGCTATATGATGCCTCAGGCCTTTGTCTTCACATCTATAAGAGGGAGTGGAGAGAGTCGGGCTGCCCTGGGCAGGTGTGGTGACAGTGGCGTCAGTGTTGGAGGTGTGCCTAGCACACTCTGGGCACTCCAGTGTTTTTTGTTGTTGTTTGCTTCTGTAATGCATTTATTTTAGGGAAAACATTTTTTTTAAATCTTCACCCAAGGGTATTTTTATTTATTTTTAGAGAGAGAGGAAGGTAGGGAGGGAGGGAGAGGAATAGAGAGAGAGAGGAGAAGAAGGAGGAGGAAGCGGAGGAAAAAGAAAGAAAAAGAAGAAAAGAGCCCGGTGGTGTTGCTCAGTGAACTGAGTGTCCTCATGGACTGAGAAGTCCCCATTTGATTCCCAGTCAGAGCACGTGCCTGGGTTGCCGCTTGATCCCCAGTAGGAGGCGTGCAGGAGGCAGCCAATCCATGTTTCTCTCTCACATTGATGTTTTTATCTCTCTCTCTAAAAAAATCAATAAAAACGTAATTAAAAAGAAGAAGAAAAAAAGAGAGGAGAGAGAAACATTGATCTGTTGCTTCCCATACGTGCCCTGACTGGGGATCAAACCTGAAACCTAGGTGTGTGCCCTGACCTGGAATTGAATCTGCGACCTTTTGGTGTATGGGATGACACTCCAGCCCACTGAGCCACACCACCCTGAGCCACACCACCCGACTAGGGCTTTAGGGAAACATTTTAAAAAGAGAAATAGTATAGAACTGAGATGGTAATTAATTGAGTTGTCACTTGGTGATATAACTACTGTTTTAGTGACTACTGTTGTGTTCTTTACTTTTCTGTTAAAACTGTTTTTAATTACAAAGAAAAGAGAGATTAACATAATTAACAATCATGCGACCCATCACCATACTTACTAAATGTTAATATTTATTTTGTGTTAGATTTGTTGTGTATTTGGAAGAAAACATGTTTGATTAAAGCCCTCTTTGTGTCTCCCCCAGTTCCACCCTCCACCCCCGCAGGGGATGCCTCTTCTGAAGGTGGTGTGCCTCCATTGTCCCTTACTTAGCATTTCATCCCTACTGTGTTTAACATTGTGAAAAGTGCCATGTCAGTGTCCTTCATGAGTCAACATTGTTTTCAAGACTCTAGGTTGATAACATATAGATCAGTTTTATCATATGAGATTTTATATTTTACTGATTTTAAAAGTATCTTTTACATATTCAAAGTTTAAAATTTAAGACACACACAAGAGTTTATATTGAAGTTTCATCACCCGACTGTTCAGTTTTTCTCCCCAGAAGCAGCATGTATTATCAATTATTTGTGTATCCTTCCAAAAATACTCTGTTTACATGAGCGAGGTAATATACTCGTACTTTTCCACCCTGCCTTTTTTGTATGAATAGTACATATCGTTTATTTATCTGTTGCTCTCTCTCTTTTTTAAATTCTCCCCTGAGGATAAAATAACCCATTTATCTTCAGATAGAGGGGGAGGGAGGGAGAGAGAGAGAAATATCAGTGTGAGAGAAACACATTGACTGGTCACCTTCCGCATGAACTGACCAGGGCCAGGTATTGAACCACAACTGAGGTACGTGCCCTTGATTGGAATTGAACCTGCTGCTCTTTAGTCCATGTGCTGCCGCTCTGACCGCTGAGCCAAACCGGCCAGGGATTTACTTTCTTCTGTACATATTCTTGACACTAATCCTTTATTGCTTTTTAGATGGCAAGTATCTTCTATTATTAGCTTATGTTTTAGTCACTCATTTTTCTACTTGATCTTTATATTTTTGAAAATGGTGTTTCCTGTGTGATTATTCTTAAAATAATTTGAAGTCTTATTATTTTTTATGCAAACTTTACAAATCGTGACTAATGTATATGCACATATTGTGTTTTTTCCTAGTGGATCAACAACCTGGAGGTCGATAGCAGATATAATTCATGGCCTTCCAGTCTGCAAGAGTTGCTCCGACCTACCTTTCCTGGTGTTATCCGGCAGATCCGTAAGAACTTGCATAACATGGTGAGTGAAACGCTCCTGCCAGGCTGTTGGCTCTGTTCTGCCACCCACGCCTCTGGTCGTGTCTGGAACGTCCACTTTTTCCTGGGAGCTGCTGCTCCCACCCAGCCACAGCCAGATGCACTCTTTCCAGGTCCACATTCACATCGCAAGGGGTTTGAAGTGTGTTGATCATTTGTAGGCTGGGAGATGTCAGTGTGGTAGGAAATGTTTCTCATCCATAACCTGAAGGTGTAGACTGTGTTATTGTAGCTTTAAGATAGTTCTTTTTTACTAAGAAGATGAATTTGTTGCTACCGTTTTTCTTAAATATCTTAATCCCTAGAAGTTACTAGTTCGGTGTATTCCCTTACATAAGTCTTTCTGGCCCTGGCCGGTTTGGCTCAGCGGTTAGAGCATCGGCCTGCAGTCTGGAGAGACCCGGGTTCGGTTCCCGCTAAGGTCATGTACCTTGGTTGCAGTTTGTCCCCGGCCCTGGTTGGTTGTGCGGGTGGCAGCCACTCGATGTGTCTCTTTCATGTCGATGTTTCTCTCTCTCTCTCTCTCTCCCTCTCACTCTATCTGTACAAAAAAATGGAAAAATGTCCTCGGGTGAGGGTAAAAAAAAAAAAAATAAGTCTTTCTGTCAGCTCCTTCTTGTTATTGCTTATTTCACCGCTTTGGACAGACAGTGGAAGAGGGATCTCAGTTGGCCCTCTTTCTCTTCTCATTGCTTTCTCTTCCCGTATTAGCTCCTAAGAGTAAGGGCAGGCTAGTGCCATGGCTGGCCTACTCAGAACTTTCTTTAAAAAAATTTTTTTTAAATACTTTTCCATTTGTATTCAGATAGAGTGGGAGAGGGAGATAGGGATAGAGAGAGAGAGAAACATCAGTGTGAGAGAGACACATTGACTGGTTGCCTCCCGCATGACCCCAACCAGGGCCAGTGACAAACCGTGACCCAGGTACATGCCCTTGACCGGAATTGAACCCAAGACTCCGGTCCTTGGGCCGACTCTCTAACCACTGAGCCAGACTGGCCAGGACCCCTCAGAACGTTCAGGGACACTGTCCTCTGTCCTTTCCTGACTCTTGAGACCACACCTTCCCTTCCCAGTCACAATGTCAGTGTTTCTCCTTAATCGTTTGTCTGAACTTGATTAAGCGAGATGGTATTTTTAAAAGCACGTCGAGAACTTAATAATGATAACTATTATCTAAATTTGAATTCTAAATGAATTCTGAATTCAGAGATCCTTAGAAATCTAGTCTAAATTTTCTAAGGTGGTTGAGTTAATAAAACGGGGTTTTTAAGATGTAGTGAGAGAGCAGGTGTTAGCATTCTGGACTGTAACTCCCCTGTCGCTAGCGTGGACCGCGAGGAGATGCGGTACCCTTTCAGTGCCAGGCTCGACACGGAGGGAGGGTCACTGCTGCTGTGTGACTCCTGTCTTAGGAGTAGCTGGAAAAAGAGGACCTTTTATTTTTATTGGTCCAGTGACATTTTTTTTTTTGGTATATGTCCCTAGTGGGAACCAAACCTGGGACTTTCTGGTCTGCAGGCCAATGCTCCAATCGCTGAGCCAAAAAGGCCAGGGCGCAGTGACATTTAAATAAGCGTCATTTCACGTGTTCCTGTCCCTCTACCCTGCAGGTGTTTATCGTTGATCCTGCTCATGAGACCACAGCAGAGCTGATGACCACAGCGGAGCTGTTCCTCAGTAACCAGATACCACTCAGGTAGCACTGGTGTAGGTTTGATGACATGCCTAATTAAATGAGGTTTTGTTTGTCACTCTTAAATGTAAGTCTGGCGCTACTGAATTGTAGAATAATTAATAGTGGGGATCGTTAATGGCAATTGTATGTTTTGCTCAGCATGAAGCCAGTATCTTTTGGGGTAAAGAATTTGCTTCTCAAGGAATAGAAGCTTACTGCCACTGAATTATTAGTAAGTGGCTTGTGCAGAAATAGTCTGTGGTCTGAGCTTGCTTCCCAGTGACAGCAGCTTCCTGAGTGAGTGTTGGTACCACAAGCCCATTTCCACGTTCAGGGAGATGAAGAGCTTTGCCAACTCCTTTCATTAGACCTTAAGGACTGAATGTATAGTATGCAGCGTTTTGTAAGTGCAAACAGATACATTTATTTCATTTGTGTTGCCAAAGGTACCAATAAGGTGCTTGAGTGGCTGGGCTTCCATTGTGCCTGTGAAGAAGTGTTTCAAGGTTTTACATATAAGGTTAAGATAGTCTCACGTATGTTCTGAATAACATCTGGTAATTTTGTTTCTTATTTTAAAAAGTTTTACATGTTGACAAAATTTGAATTCTTAGAAAAAATGAAAATAAAGAAGAAAAGAACTGTGTAGCTAACAAATGTAATTGGGTATTCTGTACCCAGCACCTAGCTAAATACTGTAGTGGCATATAAGCCACATTGCTGCCTTCTGGGAAGAAAATGCTGTGCATACTTTCAGACACTTTAAGAAGATATGTATCTGATCAAGTATTAGTTTATGTCCTATTAGTTATAAGTTCTTCAGAATTTCCGGGAAACAAAATATTTTAGACTGAGACATTTGGGAAGGACAAAAGTTTCATGGAAAAGTTGGATTTCAGATAGGCTTTGGAGAAAATAGAGGTTTTTCATTGATGGAAAAGCAGAGATTTTGAATTTAATGAACTTTTTCATGTAAAACACGAAAAGCACCTGTTAGGTGGAGGAGTAAACTGCTGGGCCACAGCCAGAGCTGTGTTTTGATTAAAAAGGAGCTGTAAGAAGGTAGAAGAAGTTGGCTCATGGTACACAGTGGGCACTAGTTGAATATTTGTGGATGCATTGAGGGACAAGATGGAGGGGTGCTCAGGCTGCCGGGGAGGCGAGAGGCGCTGTCAGAGTCGCAGGAGCCTGCAGGCAGGCATGTTCTGCTCTGCCTGAGTTGATGTGGCGCCTGCACTGAGCCTCATGGCGTCAAGGAGAGGTCAAGGAGAGGAGGGACAGATCTGAAAGATCGCATCGTGATGCTTGATGAGGGAGAGCAGAAGTCTGAATTTTGGAGCTTAGCTAACAAAGACTAATACTCTTTCCAGAAGTTGGAAACTTGGGGAGAGGAATTACTTTGTGAGGAGATAAACAGGCTCTTGACTATAATTTTATTTTTATGAAAAATGATAGTTATGTCATTTCTGCCTGGAGTCTGCTCGTGATTTCTGTCATGAGTGGGGTTTTAAAACAAAGACAGCTCTCATCTAAAACAAACCCTCTTGCCACCCCAATCCATGGATGCACACATACCTCCTGAGAACTTGATGTTTGATATGTTTTTATTTTTTTCTTCTACTCTTAGGCTATTCCTTTTTAAAAAAATTAATAAACTTTGTCTCTTTTAGAGCAGTGTTAATTAACTGGTGTTGATACATTGCTATTAAAAGTTCATAGTTTACATTAGGGTTCATTGTTTGAGTTGTACATTCTGTGGTTCTTATTTATTTATTTATTTATTTAATCCTCACCTGAGGACATTTTTTCATTTCTTGTTCAGATACAGTGGGAGGGAGGGAGGGGGAGAGAGAGAGAGAGAGAGAGAGAGAGAGAGAGAGAAAGAGAGAGAGAGAAACATCCACGTGAAATGACACATCAAGTGGCTGCCACCTGCACGACCCAACCAGGGCCGGGGACAAACTGCAACCTAAGTACTTGCCCTTAGCGGGAATTGAACCCGGGTCTCTCTGGACCGCAGGCTGACGCTCTCACCGCTGAGCCAAACCGGCCAGGGCTGTGGTTCTTGATGAATGTGTAATTACATGTTTTCACCATTACAGATACATACAGTTTAGTTTCACTGCCCTAAAAACCCCTTCTTCTTCACAATTTTCCCCCCTGCCCCCAGCCTCTGGCAACCACTGATGTTTTTACTGTCTCTATGGCTTTGCCCTTTTCAGGATCATGATGTGTGTAACCTTTTCAGATTGCTTCTTTCACTTAGCAGCATGCTTTTAAGTTTTGTCCATGTCTTTTGTGGCTTGAAATGTTACTTCCTTTTATGACTGAGTCATGCTCCATTATAGTATGTACCATGGGTATTTGTTTTACTTTGACAGACATCAAGTTTGGGCAATCATGAATAAAACTGTGTAAACATATATGTGCATGTTTTTGTGTATGGGTATACATTTTCAGCTCATTTGTATTGAGCATGATTGCTTTATCTGATCATTAAAGTATGTTTGGTTTTACAAGAAACTGCCAAACTGATTGTACCATTTTGCATTCTTACTAATGGTGGTGGTGAGTTCCTTATTGCTCCACATCCTCACCAGCATTTGGTGTTGTCAGTGTTTCTGTTTTAGCCGTCCTAATAGTATATCTCACTGAAATTCCTCAATGATATGTGATGTCAAGCATCTTTTTATATACTTGGTTGCAACTGCATGTCTTGTTTGGCGTGGTGGTGTTCAGACTTTTTGTCCATTAATAACGGTTGTTTTTTTTTTAAATTGTGTGTTTTAAGAGTTCTTTTTATATTCTAGATATCAGTCCTTTATCAGGTGTGTGTTTTACACAGATTTCCTGCCAGTCTGTGGCTTGTCTTTATTCTCTTAACAGTTTCTTTTGCAGATAAGTTCTTAATTTAAATGAAGTCCACGTTATTAATTTTTTGTCACAGGTCATGCTTTTGATGTTAGATCTAATAAGTTAAGATTATCAGCATTTTCTTTTATTTTCTAGGAATTTTATACTTTTGTATTTTACATTTTTTTGTCTATGATCCATTTTAAGTTCATTTTTGTGAAGGTTATTAAAAGGACCATCCTTTCTCTGCTGAGTAACTTAGCTCCAGGAGGGGCTGATGGCCTCTGCAAACCCTCTTCCCTCTGCAGCCCTCTTCCCTCTCTCTGCAGCCCTCTTCCCTCTGCAGCCCTCTTCCCTCTGCAGCCCTCTTCCCTCTGCAGCCCTCTTCCCTCTTTCTGCAGCCCTCTTCCCTCTTTCTGCAGCCCTCTTCCCTCTGCAGCCCTCTTCCCTCTCTGCAGCCCTCCTTCCCTCTCTCTGCAGCCCTCTTCCCTCTCTCTGCAGCCCTCCTTCCCTCTCTCTGCAGCCCTCTTCCCTCTCTGCAGCCCTCCTTCCCTCTCTCTGCAGCCCTCTTCCCTCTCTCTGCAGCCCTCCTTCCCTCTCTCTGCAGCCCTCCTTCCCTCTCTCTGCAGCCTTCCTTCCCTCTCTCTGCAGCCCTCTTCCCTCTCTGCAGCCCTCCTTCCCTCTCTCTGCAGCCCTCTTCCCTCTCTCTGCAGCCCTCTTCCCTCTCTCTGCAGCCCTCCTTCCCTCTCTCTGCAGTCCTCCTTCCCTCTGCCAGCAGTGCAGCCCTTTATCTCCGCCTGTGCATGTGTAATGGTGTCTCTTTGTGCTCTGTTCCTTTAATTAAAAAATTTTTTGAAAATATATTTTTTATCCTCACCTGAGGACATTTTTGCATTTGTTTTGGATAGAGCAAGAGCGGGGGAAGGAGGAAGAGAGAGAGAAACATCGATTTGAGAGAGACACATTGAGTGGCCGCCACCCACACGATCCCATCCAGGGCTGGGGACAAACTGCAACGGGGGTACGTGCCCTTAGTGGGAACTGAACCCAGGACTCTCTAGTCCACATGCTGACGCTCTAACCACTGAAACAAACCAGCCAGGGCTCTTTAAAATTTTATAATGTAATACATTCTAACCTCAGTTGTAGTTTTTGATGGACAGTTGTAAATGTTTTTTATTTTTTTTTGCAGTCATCTTCAGATAGAGTGGGAAGGAGAGAGGGAGAGAGAGAAACATCGATGTGAGAGACACATTGAGTGGTCGCCACTCACGTGACCCCTACTGGGGCCGGAGACAAACTGCAACTGAGGTACTTGCCTTTAGCGGGAACTGAACCCAGGACTCTCTGGTCCGCGGGGGCGCTCAAACCGCTGAGCAAAACCGGCCAGTGCTAGTAAATGTTTTTATGCTTTCCATTTACCCACAATTCTCACATTACCGATGTTAAATTTCAAAATCCCTCTCCCTTCTGTGTATTTTCACATTCTGAAAATTTTCACTTTTCCGAATTTTCTTTTAAAAGCAGAACAAAATCTTGATGTAAAACTATAGCAATACCCATTATGTCAGTAATGGCCTTGTTTCACAATGTGGAAACAGCTTGCTTTAACAGTTGAAATTCTGAGCCACCTTTGGGAACCTGCCTGCTTTTTCATTCTGAGTGATTACTGCCTTTGCCAACCCTATTAGTATGTGAACTGCGGTTTTCAATAATGAATAGTTCTCCTCTGTTCGCTACAGTATTTGTGTGGGGTATGTTCCCTTTAACCGCTGCCTTTTTTTTTTCAATCACAATTTACATTCAGTATTGTTTTGCGTGAGTTTCAGGTGGATAGCATAGTGGTTGGACCATCATATACTTTACAAAGTGTTCCCCTCGATATTTCCAGTACTCAACTAGAACCATAATAATAGTTATGACAATATTATTGACTCTGGTTCCTGTGCTGCACTTTATACCCCTCTGACTCTTTTGTAACCACCAGTCTGCACTTCTTAATCCCTTCACCTTTTTCACCCAGTCCTCAACCCTCTTCCCCTCTGGCAGTCATCAGTCTGTTCTCTGTATCTGTTTCAATTTCGTGTGCTCGTTTATTTTATTTTTTAGATTCCACATGTAAATGAAATCACATGGTATTTGCCTGACTTATTTCACTTAGCTTAATACCTTCTAGGTCCATCCATGCTGTCACAAATGGTAATTCATTTTTGTTTTGTGGCTGAGTAATATTCCATTGTGTGAGTGTGTGTGTGTGTGTGTGTGTGTGTACTTTTTTTATACACTCACCTATTGATGAGCACTTGGGTATTGCTTCTATATCTTGGCTGGTGTAAATAACACTGCAGTGAACATAGGGGTTCATTGCCCATTTGTGTTCTTTGAGATGTTTCTTTTGTTTTTTTCCCCTTCCTTCTTTCCCTTAGACTTGGTTTAATCTTTGTGGTTAATGACTCTGAAGATGTGGATGGGATGCAGGATGCTGGAGTGGCCATCATGAGGGCGTACAATTATGTTGCTCAAGAGGTGGATGGTTACCATGCTTTCCAGACTCTGACACATGTATGTTTTCATTCAAAATGGTGAAACTTTTAAAGTCTAACTTATTCTAAGAAAAAAGCATGTGGTAAGGGGATTCAATATATTTGTAAAGAGCAAAAGTAAGAAATTATTCACACAAACTTTGTGTTTTATTTTTCCAGAGTTGCCTTTACTTTATTGATGGACTGATGTTAGTAATAGATTGCTGTGATTTCAGCTAAGATAATCTTTCTTAGGAGCCCTACTAATATATATTAATTAGACTTCTGACTTCTGGTGATTTGAACTCACTAATTAGTGTCTTTTGGTAAATGTGATGTTCTCTACTTGTTTTAAAATTCTCACCAAGGATATTTTTCCATTAATCTTCAGTCAGAGTGGGAGAGAGAGAGAAAGAGGGAAAGAAAGAGAGGGAGACAGGGAGAGAGAAACATCCATGTGAGGGAGACACATTGACTGGCTGCCTCCCGCATGACCCTAACCAGGGTTGGGGATGAACTGCAGCAGAGTTACGTGCCCTTGACTGGAATTGAACCCGCAACTCTTTGGTCTGTGGGTCGATGCTCTAACCGTTGAGCAAAACCAGCCAGGGCATTCTCTACTTGTTTAAAAAAGTGTTTGTTTGTTTTTTTCACCTTTAAGATCATCATGATATTTTCATTGGGATTCAGTTTACTATTTAAGTCATAAAATTCTTATTGTCTGTTTTCTTCATATTAACTGAAAACTTTTAAATGCCTTCATTTCATATATATTTAACATACTTGCTCAAGTTCAAAGAACTCCTTTTTTTAATTTTTCAATATAAAGAACTTCAGATTTAATAAGTTAAAAAATTATTATATTCAGAAGAAGTAACAGTTCTTTTGTTTATATTTTAGTGGTAGTGATATCTCTAAAGCAATTGATTTTCAGCACTTTCATTTTACTTGAAAACATGAAGCCCGTCTACTGTTTATTATGTTTATTGTTTAGAGTTCGATCAGGGGTATTATTTTATTAGTTAAAATGCATTATTTTGTTAGTTAAAATGTATTATTTATTTGGCTAACATTCACCAAAGACTATTTACCAGACCTGGTATTAGTTGTGAGGGATACAAAAGAGTAAGATGCCACCTATATGTCTTCAGAGACCTCCAAGTTTAGTGGGGACCCTCCAGATAGATGCTCTGTAACCATGTGGGAAGCACAGCGGGCTGTGGCCCCACTGGGCCCTCAGACCACAAGGGAGGTCGTGGGCATGTTTGTGCAGGGGACATTGTCCCAGCCGAGTGGAGGAGGGAGAACAGGAGTCCACTGAATAATGGCTGCAGGTCAGAGATAGTGATTCTGAGTTAGTGTGATTTGAGTACAGAATGGTAAGAGCAGAGTGGAAAGGGGAACCTGACCATTGAAGCCATCAGGCGAGGTAGCAGGTGTCCAGATCACACGCTCAATCCACTGAGCCACACCGGCCAGGCTAAAATCTATTTTTTTTAATCCTTACTCGAGGACATTTTTACATTCATCTTCAGATAGAGCGGAAGGGAGAGAGAGAGAGAAACATGATGTGAGAGAGACACATCGAGTGGTTGCCACCCACTTGACCCCAGCCAGGGCTGGGGACAAACTGCAACCGAGGTACGCGCCCTTAGCGGGAACTGAACCCGGGTCTCCCTGGTCTGCGGGTTGATGCTCTAACCACTGAGCCACACCAGCCAGGGTGCCAACTTTATTTTTTTAAAGTCACAGAAGAAAAAATCATCAGATTTGTGTAGAAATACAAAAGACCCTGAATAGCCAAAGCAATCCTCAGAAAAAGAACAAAGCCAGAGGTATTACACTGCCTGACTTCAAATTATATTACAGACCTGCAATAATCAAAACAGCATGGTACTGGCAGAAAAACAACACATTGACCAATGGGATAGAATTGAGAGCCCAGAAATAAAACCACATGTAAATGGGTAAATAATTTTTGACAAAGGAGCCACAAACACACGATGGAGAAAAGAAAGCCTCTTCAATACATGGTGCTGGGGGAATTGGAAGCTACATGCAAAAGAATGAAACTAGACCACAGTTTCTTCCTATGTGCAAAAATTAATTAATTAATTAATTATTTTTTAATCCTCACCAGAGGACTTTTTTCCATTTTTTGTTCAGATAGAGTGGGAGGGAGAGAGAGAGAGAGAGAGAGAAACATCGACGTGAAAGGGACACATCGAGTAGTTGCCATCCACACCACCCCAACCAGGGCCAGGAATAAACTGCAACTGAGGTATGTGCCCTTAGTGGGAACTGAACCCGGGTGTCTCTGGACCGCAGGCCGACGCTCTAACTGCTGAGCCAAACAGGCCAGGGCCAAAAATTAATTTAAAATGGATCAACGACCTAAATATAAGATCAGAAATAATAAACTGCATAGAAGAAAACACAGGCACTAAACTTATGGACCTGGGTCTTAGTGAACATTTTATGAATTTCACCCCAAAGGCAAAGGAAGTATAGGCAAAAATAAATGAATGGGACTGTATCAAATTAAAACTCTCCTACACAGCAAACGAAACTGCCAACAAAACAAAAAGGCAACCAATCAAATGGGAGATAGTGTTTGCAAACAATAGTTCCGACAAGGGGCTAATATCCACAATTCATAAAGACTCACACTCAACAGCAAACAATTAAAAAGTGGTACCTCTCTCAAAAAAAGTCATAGAGATGGCCAACAGATATAAAAAGATGCTCAATTTTGCTAGCTATTAGGGGAATGCAAATCAAAACTACTGTGAGATACCACCTCACATCTATTAGAATGGCTGTTATCAACAAGACAAGTACTAAATGTTTGGGAGGTTGTAGAGTAAAAGGAGGCCTTGTTCACTGCTGTGGGAATGTAGACTGGTCCAGCCGCTGTGGGAAACAGTTGGTTCTCAAAAAATCAAAAATAGAGTTACCATGTGACCCAGCAATTTCTCCTGGGTATCTACCCGAAAAACTCAAAAATATTAATTTGCAAAGATTTATGCACCTCTATGTTCATCGTAGCATTATTTATGGTGGCCTGGACATGGTGACAACCAAAATGTCCTTCGTTTGAGAATTGGATAAAGAAGATGTGGTCCATACACAATGGAATACTACTCAGCCATAAGAAAAGATGAAATACTGCCATTTGTGACAGTAGGAATAGACCTTGAGAATATCATGCTAAGCAAATTATGTCAGGAAAAGCTAAGAACCATATGATGTCACTCTCGTGTGGGATATAAACTGAAACTCCTAGTCACAGACAGTGGTATGGAGGTCACCAGAGGGAAGGGCAGAAGCGTGGCTGGTAAAGGGACCTAACGTGGTGCCGGAGACTGCTTTACCTTGGTGGTGGGCACACACACAACGTACAGGTCATGTATCATAGATGTGTGTGCTCACAGCTGCATGACCCTGTTGACCCTAATACATGTAATTTAAAAGAAGGCATCTTGAGGTGTATGGAAAAGAGAACTGCTATTCCCATTTGATGTCATTTGACATTTTAAGAAAAACGATCATGTTTTCTTGCACATTCAGAAATCTTTTGTAATAAACACTCTGAAATTTGAATTTAAAAGTGAAGTTGATTAACCAGTTTTGTTTTTTTCTTTTTCAGATATATAATAAAGTAAGGACCGGAGAAAAGGTAAAAGTTGAACATGTGGTCAGTGTCCTGGAGAAGAAATATCCGTATGTAGAAGTGAATAGCATCTTGGGGATTGATTCTGCCTATGATCAAAAGCGGAAGGTAAACGTTATTTGCCCATCTGTCTGCAGCGCTGCACTTTTTTTACCCCATTGTTTTGGGGTTACCATTACTGATGGTGGTTCAGTGCTTAGGTACTTTGCATGTAAACATTTAGAAACCAGATCACTTTCCTGAGTTTGAAAATGCAGTTTACATTTCAATTTTGTGAAGGTACTGGTTTTTAGCGGGCCTGTTAACTGTTACATTGAAGCGCCGTTTCGTTTTCACAGTGGGGTGGTGTACTTGTATGATACGTTCTGGATAAAGTCTGGGAAGTGTGAGGTACGATTGCCAGGACATGAGGTGTAACAATGTGTAGCATTTATAGTTATTCAGACTAAAGATGCAAACATCTTTAAAATGTAATAATCAGAATTGCAAAATGTTGTAATAGATATAGAGAAATATTGAAAAATTTTATTTAAAAATAGTAATGTTCCTTGTGCTACATTAAGTACAGTAAAGGGCTCTTACCTTTTTTTTTTTAACCCTCACCTGAGGGCATTTTTCTTTAGATAGAGCAGGAGGGAGAGAAGGAGGAAGTGAGAGAGAGAAACATCCAGTGGTTGCCACGCACATGACGTACCAGGGACAAACTGCAACCGAGGTATGTGCCCTTAGCGGGAACCGAACCCAGGACTCTCCGGTCCACAGGCTGAAGCTCTAACCGCTGAGCCAAACCGGCCAGGGCAGGGCTCTTACCTTTTAAAAAAAATTTTTTATCAGCCCTGGCTGGTTTGGCTCAGCCGTTAGAGCATCAGCCCACAGACCAGAGAGGCCCAGGGTTGGTTCCCGCTAAGGGCACGTACCTCTGTTGCAGTTCGTCCCTGGCCCCTGTTGGGGTCATGTGGGTGGCAACCAGTCGATGTGTCTCTCTCATGTCGATGTTTTTCTCTCTTCCTCCCTCTCTCCCTCCCACTCTATCTGAAGAAAAATGCAAAGGGTAAAAAAAAATTTTTTTTTATCATTCCTCACCTGAGGATATTTTTTACACTGATTTTTAGAGAGAGGGGAGGGAGGGGTGGAGAGAGAGAGAGAGAGAGACTGAGAGAAACATCAGTGTGAGAGAGACACATGGATTGTTGCCTCCTGACCAGGCCAGGGATGGAACCTGCAGCCCAGTTAATGTGCCCTTGACAGGGAATTAAACCAGTGACCTTTTGGTGCACTGGCCGATGTCTAACCACTGAACAACACTACCCAAGGCAAGGGCTCTTACCTATTGCAAGCAGGAATGAGTGGTCATTTTATTGATAATAAATGTTATAGCAGTGAACCAAAATACATTTCCAGAACATTTTAATTTAAAACAATAAAAGGGTATTCCTTTACTAATGTTTTTCCTTTTTTTCAAATTAAAGACAAGGCCTTTGGTTCTTCTGTTTGGACATCTGAGCTATCCTTCCATTAGAAATCATTCTCATAATGATTTGTTTATAAATTCTCTTTATCTGAGACCAAAGTCCTTTGAGATTTTTTTTTTTTTAATCTTCACCTGAGGACATTTTTCCTTTTTTTGTTCAGATAGAGTGGGAGGGAGAGAGAGAAACATCGATGTGAAAGGGACACATCGAGTGGCTGCCTCCTGCGTGAACCAACCAGGACTGAGGACAAACTGCACCATGGTATGTGCCCTTAGCAGGAACCGAACCCGGGTCTTTCTGGACTGCAGGCCGACGCTCTAACCGCTGAGCCAAACAGGCCAGGGCTCCTTTGAGATTTTTGTAATCTTCCACCCCTCTCTTGTAGTTGTCTCACCCACATCTAATTCAGCATCAGCTATTTTTAGATTCTCACCTTTTTGAGTTTTTTTAGTCATTTAGTTTGTTTTGTTGGGGAAACCAACTTTTCCCTTTGGCAGTCATATTTTGTTGGCTGTATAATATTACTTTTTTTTTTTCATTCACTAAGAGAAATGGTTGGTTTGGAAACAGACACAACTGATTTTTGGTAAACATATAGCTCAAATGAGGGGAGCAAAGGTCTGTGTATTCCAGAGAGCAGCTCACCAGTGTAAGAGCTGAATGTGCTTTATAGCGTGTGTTTGTGGTATTAACTTGGTTAATTTATATTTGTTAAAAGATCTGCTACTGTCTACTGATCCTGGTTTTACAGGGATTCAACAAAAATGCCATTCAGTAAGAACAAAACGCAAGGACCTAACAACTGGAGACATGTCTGAAGTGCTTTGAAATAAGGAATACTGTTTTACTTTTAAACACATCTGATAGTATTGGGTAACTTCTCTGTGCCAGCCCTTATAATAGAAAGTTGAACAAGAGGGAGTGCCTATTCTTGGAGTGTCACACAGCCCATTGGGGAGTGATACACAGTAAGAGCTGTAAGATTTTGGTGGTTGTGATGTTAGTGTTTGCGTGTGGTGGGTGGGAGGCCCAGAAGGAGGGGCAGCCCTGGCAGTGTGGGACAGGCAGGTGATTGTTGGAAGCTTCCTACAGAGGTGGTGGCGCTTGCCTGCCCTGTGAAGGAAAGCTTTTAGAGGGCTGAATGAAAAAAGCAAAGTAAAACACAAACCACAGGTTTATTATATGTGGAAATTGATGTTGAGTGTCAAACTAATTAAATATTGGCTCTCTACCAAGACTTCTGAAAACGTAAATTCAAACCAGGAGCTAGTAGGTCTGTGAGGATGACATCTTGTTTCTCCTCTTCACTGTTTTCATTATGTGCTTTAGTGTTTTTTTACTTTTATTTTCATTTTACAGCCAGTGATAAGATTTCCCCCGGCTTCATTGAGGTGTAAATGACATGTAATGTTGTGTAAGTTTGAGGTGTACATGTGTTGATTGACACATGATAATTACAGCAGTGTCAGCTGACACCTCCACCACCTCATGTAATTACGTTTCTTTCAGTGGTGAGACTGTTTACGATCCCCTCTGAGCAGTTTTCAGACATCTGACAGGGCTGCTAAGTGGAGTCATCGTGCTGCACACTAGATCCCAGGAGCTTACTCATCTCATAAGTGGGAGCTTGTACCTTCCAAAAGTTCTCTCCATTTCTTTCTTTCTTTTTTTTTTTTGGTGGTACGTGCCCCTAGCAGTAACCGAACCTGGGACTCTCTGGTCCGCAGGCTGACGCTCAACCGCTGAGCCAAACTGGCCAGGGCAGTTCTCCCCATTTCTGCTACACCGCAGCCCAGACAACCAGCATTCTGTGTCTTTGTGTTTAGCTCGTTCGGATTCTACATATATTTGTCTTTTTCTTTCTGATTTATTTAAATCCGTATTGTTGCAAATGGCAGGACTTCTTTTTTTTCTTTTCATCCTCACCCGAGGACATTTTTCCATTTTTTGTTTGGACAGAGTGGGAGAGAGAGAGAGGGAAACATCAACGTGAAAGGGACACATCGAGTGGCTGCCACCCACACAACCAGCCAGGGCCGGGGACAAACTGCAACCGAGGTACATGCCCTTAGCGGGAACTGAACCCGGATCTCTCTGGACCGCAGGCGGATGCTCTAACCACTCAGTTTTACTTATTTCTTACACACACACACACACACACACCAGGGCAGTACTTATTTCTCTCTCACACACACACACCCTTCTATATCCATTCAATTGCTGACAGACACTTAGGTTGATTCCATGTCTTGGCTGTTGTAAGTAATGCTGCAATGAACATGGGAATGCAGATATCTCTGCGATCCTTACTTCATTTCTTTTAGCTGTATATCCAGAAGTGAGATTGCTGGATCATACAATAGTTTACTTTAAAATTTGTGAGGAACCTTCATGTTTTTTTCTGTATTGACTGAACCAGTTTACATTCCTACCAACTACAGGGAGCTCCCTTTTCTTCACACCTTCAACACTTGTTAATTTCTTGACTTATTTTAAAAATTAATTTATTTTTGTTACAGATGTTTCTCCTTTTGCCCCCATTGACACCCTCCTCCCGATCCCGCCCCCACCTTCAGCATTGTTGTCTGTGTCCATTGGTTATGCATACATGCATGTAAGTTCCTTGGTTTATCTCTTCCCTTGCCCCCCCTCCTTTGAGGTTGTCAGTCTGAACCCTACTTCTATGTCTCTGGATCTATTTGTTCATCAGCTTATTTTGTTCATTATATTCCACAAATACGTGAGATCATATGGTATTTGTGTGTCTCTGATTGGGTTATTTCGCTTAGCATAATGCTCCGCAGGTCCCTCCATGTCGTCTCAAAGGATAAGAGATCTTTCTTTCTTACAGCTGCATAGTGTTCCATTGTGCACATGTACCACAGCTTTTTTATCCATTCATCTGTTGATAGACACTTGCTCTGCCCATTTTTCAATTGGATTCTTTGTCTTCCTTTTGTTGAGTTGTATGAGTACTCTATATATTTTGGAAATTAACCCCTTATCTGATACATCATTGGCAATTATGCTCTCCCATATAGTGGGTCTCCTTTCCATTTTGATGCTTGTTTCTATTGCTGTGCAGAAGCTTTTTAGTTTGATGTAGTCCCATATATTAATTTTTTCCTTTGTTTCTCTTACCTTAGGTATTGTATCAGTGAAAATTCTGCTGTGTGTGATGTCTGAAATTTTGTTTTCTACATTTTCTTCCAGGATTTTTATGTATTCACAAGTCACATTTAAGTCTTTTATCCATTTTTTATTTATTGTTGTGCATGGTGTAAGTTGGTGGTTCTAGCTTCATTTTTTTGCATGTAGCTGTACAATTTTCCCAACACCATTTATTGAAGAGGCTGTCTTTACTCCATTGTATGTGCGTGCCACCTTTGTCAAATATTAATTGAGCATAATGTCTTGGGTCAATTTCTGGGTTCTCTGTTCTGTTCTACTGGTCTATGTGCCTGTTCTTGAGCCAGTACCAGGCTGTTTTGATTACAGTGGCTTTGTAGTATAACCTGATATCCGGTAATGTGATCCCTCCAACTTTGTTCTTCTTTTTCAAGACTGCTGTGGCTATTCAGGGTCTTTTTTTTGTTCCATATAAACTTTTGGAGTGTTTGTTCTAGTTCTGTGAAATATGTCATTGGTATTTTGATGGGGATTGCATTGAATGTATAGATTGCTTTGGGTAGTATGGACATTTTAATGATGTTTATTCTTCCAATCCATGAACAAGGTATGTGCTTTCACTTTTTTATATCTTCCTCTGTGTCTTTTTTCAATTACTTGTAGTTTTCTATGAACACGTTCTTTACTTCTTTGGTTCAGTTTATTCCTAGGTATCTTACTTTTTATTCTGCAATGGTATATTGGGATTGTTGTTTTAGTTTCTCTTTTCTGTGAGTTTATTGGTGTATAAGAATGCCATCGATTTCTTGATGTTAATTTTGTAACCTGCTGCTTTGTTGAATTCAGTTATTATATCTAATAGATTTTGATGGAGTCCTTAGGGTTTTCCATGTACAGTATCATGTCATTTGCAAATAATGACAGTTTGAATTCCTCCTTTCAAATTTGGATCCTTTTATGTTTTATTCATGTCTAATTGCCGTGGCTAAGACTTCCAGAACTATGTTACATAAGAGTGGCGGAAGTGGGCATCCCTGTCTTGTTCCTGTTCTTAAGGGGAATGCTTTTAGTTTTTGCCCATTGAGTATGATATTGGCTGTAGGTTTTTCTTTTCTTTTTTACAATCAAAATAATTCCACATTGGTCTTATACCCCATGAAACCTTGAGATTAATGAACTATAGTCCTCAAACACTTGTATCTGCATCCACATTTGCTAAAACACATCAGTCTACTTCATACTGGCTCATCATCAACTTCCTGCTGTATTCATGGGCCAGAATTAGTGCCCCATTGGTAGGGAACACTCGCATAATAACAGGTTTCAGTCCAGAATATAAGGCCATTATTCCTTCATTTTTCACAACACTTGTACAAGTTCCAGTAAATCCTGTATATTTTCCAGACATGGAAAAAACTTGAATTCTGGACTTGATACAGTCCACTGGGTAAACAGCAAGCCAGAGGCAAATTCCACCAACTCCACCACCTAACATCAAAGGGACAGGGCCTAGTTCACCTTTGGATCTCCCTGACGCAAAAATCGATCGAGTCTCTTCATAGCCTCTGAAGAAGAAATAACCCGGTCCTTCTTGAAGCACAATACTTGAGAGTCCAAGGTAGAAGCCCAGGGGGCCGTGCTTTCTCAGGGTGCTCTTCACCACAGACTAGCCGTTGTCCTGGCTCTTGGGTATCTTTCCCGAGGTCTCCGTTTGGTACATGGTCTGCAGCTCGGTGGGGCAGACGACCAGCGCAGGGCAGCAGAGGCCAGGGAGCCAGCGGCCTCGTTCTGCACGTCCCTCATCTCGGCCTGCGCGTCCGCTCCCACCGCCTCCCGCACCTCCTGCTGGCAGAAGCCATAGCTCATGAAGAGGACCGAGTTCACCGCCACGTTGGTGATGAGTGCTGGGCCGGGCCCCTTGTAGAAACCCCCGAAGCCCACCTGCGAGTAGGTCTTCAGGCAGCAGTCAGTGAGGCCCCTGTACATGTTGGGGAACGTCTGCATCTTCACTTTCATCGTGTCAAAGGGCTGCCGGGTCAACACACATGCTGTGCCCCCTGCAGCCCCTGCCGTGAGGTCGATGGCAGCTTGGATGGCAGGGTTGGACGTCATCTGTGCTTCCTCCTTGGCTGGGCTCTGTGGGAGGCAACTCCGTGAAGCTTGTCCCTGCCAATGGGCTGCGCGTCCTGCTCTGGGGCCTGCAGCCACTCTCCCTGCGCAGCCTCGGGCCGCTTAACCCCCACGTGGTCCAGGCCGGGCGGGCCCCCCGCCCCGCGCCAGGGCCCCCAGGCCGGCGGCTATGGGGTTTTCATACATACCGTTTATTATGTTGAGTTATGGTCCCTCTGTGCCCGCATTGCTGAGCGTTTTTGTAAGAAATGGGTGCTGGATTTTGTCGAATGGTTTTTCAGCGCTGATTGATAAGATCATATGGTTTTTATCTTTCATTTTGTTTATGTGGTGTATCACATTTATTGGTTTGTGAATACTGTACCATTCTTGCATCCCTGGGATGAATCCCACGTGGTCATGGTGAATAATTTTTTTAATGTGTTGCAAGATCTGATTTGCTAATATTTTGTTAAGGATTTTGGTATCTATGTTCATCAGGGACATTGGCTTGTAGGTTTTTTCCTTTGTAGTGGCTTTATCTGGTTATGGAGTTAGAATTATGCTGACCATTTAAAACGAGTTTGGGAGTCTTTCTTCTTGATTTTTTTGGAACAGTTTGAGGAGAATGGGTATTCGATCTTCTTTGAATGTTCTGTAAAACTGCCCGGTAAAGCCATCTGGGCCTGTGCTTTTGTTTGCTAGGAGTTTCTTGATTACATTTTCAGTTTCCTTAGTTGTTACTGGTGTGTTCAAGTTTTCTATCTCTTCCCTGTTCAGTTGGGAAATTGTGTGAGTCTAGAAATTTGGCCATTTCGCCTAGATTCTCCAATTTGTTGGCATATAATTGTTCATAGTATTTTTTAATGATCCTTTATATTACTGTGGTGTAGGTTGTTACTTCTTTTACGTTTCTGATTTTGTTTATTTGGGTCCTCTTTCTTTGTTTCTTGGTGAGTGTGGCTAAGGGTCCATTGATCTTGTTTATTTTTTCAAAGAAACAGCTCTTTGTGTCATTGATCTTTTGAATTATTTTTTTAGTTTCTATGTCATTTATTTCTGCTCTGACCTTTATTATTTCTTTCCTTCTACTTGCTCTGGGTTTTTCTATTCTGTTTACTTTCTAGTTCTTTAAGTTGTAGGGTTAGAAATTTTTTTTTTATTTTTGAGGTAGGCCTGTAGTGCTATGAACTTCTCTCTCAGGACTGCTTTTACTATGTCCCATAGATTTTGTGTTGTTGTGTGTTCATTTTCATTGGTTTCTGGGAAGTTTTTGATTTCTTCCTTGATGTCTTTGGTAACCCATTCACTGTTTAATAACATGCTATTTAGCCTCTATGTGTTTGAATGTTTTTGAGTGTTTTTATTGTAATTAATTTCTAGTTTTATTCCATTGTGATCTGAGAAGATGCTTGATATGATTTCAGTCATCTTGAACTTGTCGAGATTTAGTTTGTGTCTTAACATGTGGTCTACCTTTGAGAATGCCCCATGTGCACTTGAGAACAATCTGTATTCTGCAGTTTTGGGGTGCAATTCTCTGTAGATATCTATTAAATCCATTTGACCTAGTGCATCATTTAGAATCTGTTTCCTTGTTAATTTTTTGTCTGGAGGATCTATCCAGTGATGTCAGCAGGGTGTTGAAGTCCCCTGCTATGATTGTATTGCTGTTGATTTCTCCTTTAAAGTCCTCTAGAAGTTTAAAATATATTTTGGTGCTCCTGTATTGGGTGCATATATGTTCACCAAGGTTATATCTTCCTGTTGGATAGCTCTTTCAATATTATGTAGTGGCCTTCTTTGTCTCTAGTTATGGCCTTCATTTTGAAGTCTATTTTATCGGATATGAGTATTGCTACCCCAGCTTTTTCCTCCTTTCTGTTTGCTTGGAAAGTTTTCTTCTATTCCTTCACTTTCAACCTATATGAGTCTTTTGTTGTGAGGTAGGTTTCTTATAAACAACATATATATGAATCATGCTTTCTTATCCATTTAGCTACTCTGTGTCTTTTAGTCGGAGCATTTAATTCATTTACATTTAAGTTATTCTTTTTTTTTGCTGTTACTCTCATTTATTTGCTGGGGGGGTTCCACTATTTATTTATGAAAAATTTCACATCTGTGATGCTCTCTGCCATCAGCCTTGACCAGTCAGAGAATGGAATCATCTGACTCCTCCATCCTGCGAATAGCCCTGCAGATAGCATAGGTTTTAAACAGGCCGTTGAACCTGCCTGTCACTTTGTGGATTTTTGCCACATTCATCTGGATGGACACGTGGTCCATGGCACCGATGATGCGGTTGCTGGCGGAGCATTTCCGCGGCATGTACAAGTCCACGAACTCACCAGCGTTCTTCTGCATGTCCAGGGCGCGCCTGCATCGATGTAACCAGGTGTTCAAACCTCCTGACAACATATGATATTTGCCTTCTTAAAATTTAATCCGGCCCTGGCCGGTTTGGCTCAGCGGTTGGAGCGTCGGCCTGCGGTCCTGAGATACCCGGGTTCGGTTCCCGCTGGGGGCGTGTACCTCGGTTGCAGTTTGTCCCCAGCCCTGGTCGGTTTTGCGGGTGGCGGCCACTCGATGTGTCCCTTTCACGTCGATGTTTCTCTCTCTCTCTCTGTTCCTCTCTCTCCCTCCCACCCTACCTGAACAAAAAATGGAAAAATGTCCTCGGGTGAGGATAAAAAAAAAAGAAAAAAAAAAAAAAATTTAATCCGAAATATCTTTTGCATCTAAAACTGTATGTGGTATTTTCCAGAAAGCCCTTGGAAAGTCACAAAGGATCTTTCACCACCTTGGGCTCTGACAGAGGGAGGGCAGATTGGACTTGAACTGTGTGGAGACATTTGGGACTTGGAGGGCACTAAGAGTTGTTGCTGAGTCACAGCCACACAGGACAGTGACCATCTTGCTTGAGCAGCCCCTTCCCAGAGTTCTGGGGCTTAAGGTTATTCTTGATATGTACTTATTTATTGCCATTTTTGTTTATTATGGTTATGTTTCTCTTCCTATTTCTTTTGCTTATTACAGTAGTCCTGTTAACATTTCTTGCAGTGCTGGTTTGGTGCTAATATATTAGTCTTTTTTTTTTTTTTTCCGTCTGGGAAGCTTTTTATTTCACCTTCTATTTTGAATGATAGCCTTGCTGGATTAATCTCTTGACTTTTTGATGATGATCTTTCTAACAGCTGTAAGATAATATCTCATGTTGGTTTTGATTTACATTTCCCTGATGATTAGTGACACTTAACACCTTTTCATGTACTTGTTGGCCATGTGTATGCCTTTAGCAAAGTATCTTTCAGTTTTCTACCTCTTTTTAATTAGACTGTTTTATTTTCTACTTACATATTTTGGATATTAACCCCTTATTACATATATGGTTTGCATTTATTCAGTAGATTGGTTTTTTATTTTGTCGTTTCCTTTGCTGTATAGAAGCTTTTAATTTTCGTGTGGTCCTATTTGTTTATTTTTGCTTTGTTGCTTTATCAAAAAAATCATAGCCATAACCAATGTCAAGGAGCTTTTTCCATATGTTTTCTTTTAGGGGTTTTATGGTGCCAGGCCTTACGTTTTAGTCTTTAATTTATTTCTAGTTAATTTTTGTGAGTGGTATAAGGTAGTGGTCGGATTTCATTCTTTTACATGCGTTTATCCAGTTTTCCCAACACCATTTATCAGAGACTGTATTCTTTCCATACTGAGTATTCCTAGCTCCCTTGTCAAACATTAGTTGACTATAAAGGCACAGATTTATTTCAGAGTTCTTGATTCTCTGGTAGGTGTTTATTTTTATGCAGTACTATTCTGTATTGATTACTATAGTATTGTAGTCGAGTTTTAAATCAGGAAGTGTGATGTCTCCAGCTTTGTTCTTTCTCAGGATTGCTCTGGCTATTTGGGGTGTTTTTTTTGGTTTCATATGAATTTTAGGAATTTTTTTCCCTATAATTCTATGAAAAATGCAATTGCAGTTGTTATAGGGATTGCATTGAATCTATAGATGGTTTTGGGTAGTATGGACATTTTAATAGTATTGATCCTTCTGAATCATGTACGTGGGATATATTTGTGTGTGTGTGTGTGTGTGTGTTTGTGAGAGAGAGAGAGAGCAAAAGAGAGAGAGAGCGTGCTACGTTTTTCTTCATCGAAGTCTCATAGTTTTCAGTATAAAAATCTTTTACTTTCTTGGTTAAATTTATTCCTAAGTATTTTATTGTTTTTTTTTTTGTTTATGAATATTTATTTATTTTTTTGTTACAGATATTTTACCTCATTGGCACCCCCCACTCCACCCCCCCTCCACCCTGTCCCCGGCTCAGTTGTCCATGTCCATTGGTCATGCATACATGCATATAAGTTCTGTGGTTTATCTCTTCCCACCTCCCCACCCCCCATCACTTCTTCTGAGGGATGTCAGTCTGTGCCCTACTTCCATGTGTCTGGGTCTACTGTATTCCTCAGACTGTTATGTTCATTATATTCCGTATATAAGTGAGATCATGTGGTATTTGTCTTTTTCTGGTTGGCTTCTTTCACTTAGGATAATACTTTCCAGGTCCCTCCATGTCATCTCAAAGGATAAGAGATCTTTCTTTCTTACCGCTGCATAGTACTCCATTGTGTATATGTACCACAGGTTTTTTATCCATTCGTCTACTGGTGGACACTTGGGCTGTTTCCAGATCTTAGCTATTGTAAATAGTGCTGCTATGAACATGGGGGTACATATATTCTTCCTGATTGGTGTTTCAGGCTTCTTAGGGTATATTCCTAGCAGTGGGATCACTGGGTCAAATGGCAGTTCAATTTTTAATTTTTTGAGGTAGCACCATATTGTTTTCCATAGCGGCTGCACCAGTCTGCATTCCCACCAGCAGTGTATTAGAGTCCCCTTTTCTCCACACCCTCGCCAACACTTGTTGTTTGATGATTTGTTGATGGCAGCCATTCTGACAGGTGTGAGGTGATACCTCATTGTTGTTTTAATTTGCATCTCTCTGATGATTAGTGATGTTGAGCATTTCTTCATATGTCTCTTGGCCATTTGTATGTCCTGTTTGGAGAGGTGTCTATTCAGCTCCTCTGCCCGTTTATTAATTGGGTTCTTTGTCTTCCTTTTGTGAAGTTGTTAGAGCACTCTATATATATTGGAAATTAACCCCTTATCTGATACATCATTGGCAATGATGTTCTCCCATACAGTGGGTTGCCTTTCCATTTTGATGATTGTTTCTTTTGCTGTGCAGAAGCATTTTAGTTAGATGTAGTCCCATGTGTTCATTTTCTCCTTTATTTCTGTTGCCTTAGGTGATGTATCAGTGAAAATTCTGCTCCGTATGATGTCCGAAATTTTGTTGCCTACATTTTCTTCTAGAATTTTTATGGATTCACGGGTCACATTTAAGTCTTTTATCTATTTCGAGTTTATTTTTGTGTATGGTGTAAGTTGATGGTCTAGTTTCATTTTTTTGCATGTAGCTGTCCAATTTTTCCAACACCATTTATTAAAGAGGCTGTCTTTACTCCACTGTATGCTCTTGCCACCTTTGTCAAATATTAATTGAGCGTATTGCCTTGGGTCCATTTCTGGGTTTTCAGTTCTGTTCCAATGGTCTATATGCCTGTTCTTGTGCCAGTACCAGGCTGTTTTGGTTACAGTCGCTTTGTAGTATAACCTGATATCTGGTATTGTGATCCCACCTACTTTGTTCTTCTTTTTCAAGATTGCTGTGGGTATTCGGGGTCTTTTTTGGTTCCATATGAACTTTTGAAGTATTTGTTCTAGTTCTATGAAATATGTCGTTGGTATTTTGATGGGGATTGCATTAAATCTATAGATTGCTTTGGGTAGTATGGACATTTTAATTATGTTAATTCTTCCAATCCATGAACAGGGTATGTGCTTCCACTTTTTTATATCTTCCTCTATTTCTTTTTTCAATGACCTGTAGTTTTCTGCAAATAGGTCCTTTACTTCTTTGGTTAAGTTTATTCCTAGGTATCGTAATTTTTTTGGAGCGATGGTAAATGGGATTGTTTTTTCAGTTTCTCTTTCTGTGAGTTCATCATTGATGTACAAGAATGCCATCGATTTCTTGATGTTAATTTTGTATCCTGCTACTTTGCCAAAGTCATTTATTAAGTCTAATAGATTTTTGATGGAGTCTTTAGGGTTTTCTATGTACAATATCATGTCATCTGCAAATAATGACAGTTTCACTTCCTCCTTTCCAATTTGGATCCCTTTTATTTTTTCTTCATGTCTGATTGCTGTGGCTAAGACTTCCAGTACAATGTTAAATAAGAGTGGCGAAAGTGGACATCCCTGTCTTGTTCCTGTTCTTAATGGAAATGTTTTTAGTTTCTGTCCATTGAGTATGATGTTGGCTGTAGGTCTTTCATATATGGCCTTTATTATGTCGAGATATGATCCCTCTATTCCTACATTGCTGAGCGTTTTTATCAGAAATGGATGCTGGATTTTGTCGAATGCTTTTTCAGCATCTATTGATATGATCATGTGGTTTTTATTCTTCATTTTGTTTATGTGGTGTATCACGTTTATTGATTTGTGAATATTGTACCAGCCTTGCATCCCTGGAATGAATCCCACTTGGTCATGGTGAATAATTTTTTTGATGTATTTCTGGATCCGATTTGCTAATATTTTGTTCAGGATTTTGGCGTCTATGTTCATCAGGGATATTGGCCTGTAGTTTTCTTTCTTCGTAGTGTCTTTTTCTGGTTTTGGAATTAGAATTATGCTGGCCTCATAGAACATGTTTGGAAGTCTTCCTTCTTCTTGAATTTTTTGAAATAGTTTGAGGAGAATGGGTGTTAGTTCTTTTTTGAATGTTCAGTAAAACTCCCCCGTGAAACCATCTGGGCCTGGGCTTTTGTTTGCTGGGAGAGTCTTGATTACCTCTTCAATTTTCTTAGTTGTTATTGGTTTGTTCAAGTTTTCTATCTCTTCCGGGAATAGTTTTGGGAGACTGTGTGTTTCTAGAAATTTGTCCATTTCGCTTAGATTGTCGAATTTGTTGCCATATAGTTGTTCATAGTAGTTGTTAACGAACTTTTGTATTTCCATGGTATTGGTTGTTACTTCTCCTCTTTCATTTCTGATTTTGTGTATTTGGGTTCTCTCTCTTTGTTTCTTGGTTAGTCTAGCTAAGGGTCCATCAATCTTGTTTATCTTTTCGAAAAACCAGCTCTTTGTTTCATTGATCCTTTGAATTGTTTTTTTGGTCTCATTGTCATTTATTTCTGCTCTGATCTTTACTATTTCCTTCCTTCTACTTGCTCTGGGGTTTTCTTTTTGTTTGCTTTCTAATTCTTTAAGTTGTGAGGTT